TTTCAATCACTGTCGCAAGGACAGCTACTCTTTCCTCCGACCGGTACCTATTTCAAGGGCAAATTTGCATCGTGTTGTCAGAGTACAACGTAATTAACACTTCCAACCGACATGCTATGCATACCAGTTTTTTTTTTAAGTTGTGCGCTGAAAGTCACGCAAAGCGTGTCAGTTTACTATTTCGGTTACACGCGATTTCACTTTGTGCAATGCAAAAACTTTGCGTACACGACGGTCGATTTGTTTCGTTGAAAGATATTGTTTTCTCACATTCTCAAAAATAAGAATAAATTACTTGCAGAAGCAAAAACACATCGCCGCAACCTGTATTATCAACATAGAAAAAAAAAAAAAAAAGAGACGCATGAGAGTTTTAAATGTGTGTACTTGTGTTATAAAACGCGATAAGACTTATCGTCATTCGACGAAGTCTATGGGTGGTTGAAAATACAGCATTTAAAATAAAGTTTTATATAAAAGGCCGGAGAGAGAAAAAAACGAGTAATAAATCACTTCTTAGAGACAGATCAGATTGAAGAAACGTCAAGTTTTTTTAACGTTCACTTTTAACGCTTATGAATTTGCTAATAAAAATAAGCGTTACAGTTGCAATTTTATACAAATAAGAAAATTACTGCGAGTCTTAGTGAAATAAGAAAACAAAAAACTCGTACTTTAACTTTAATTAAAGAATTTGTAACTGAGAGAAAGAGAGAACAGACGTGGAGAGACCTAAGATCAACCTCGTACACGAGGTTCCTTAAATTTATTCGGCAGAATGCGCACACGGAGGAACTTCCAAAGTTAACTGCGGTTGACTTGCGACGCACGCGGATAAAAAGTTTTCTAAGAAAGTCTTTTCGTGTTTCTTCCGACCTGTGCTATGGGTGCACACGGAATAAAATTAGCCTCGCACCTTTGATCTATCGGAGATCAATTTCGACCCCGACGACGTTGGGAGCGACCTTCGCATGGAATATTACCGTTCTTTCAACGGGGGTTGTGTCAACCCATGTCACGTGACATTTTCGTCCAAGTTATTATATCGTTTTAGCTGTGACTCGCACGAGACATTATGAGATGTAAATATTTTATATTACGGTGTATAATATAAATTTTACATGTGTCTGTATGTGAGAATTCTATAATAGTCGCGGGAAACGCGTGTGTGCGCGCGCATGGATCAGCGATGGCAAACGAAGTTGGAGTTTTTGGCTTCGCGTTTCGTCAGATCCATTTCGAAGCAGCAGTTTCGTAATTGACGCTTTGAGTTTGCACGAACCGCTCGTAAATGAGCGACGAGCGCTACGTCGAGCGTCAGTAAAAATCGTTATCTCCGCGCGCATATATATATATATATCACGTTACAATTTTTTTTTTTTGCGTATTGCGACGCGACCATACGAGCAAGATTATACGGCCGTGCGGCGTGCGTTTTTGTGTGCGAACCGGGTGTACACACACTTGCAATCGGTAACCATTGACGATTGGCCATCTCGACGTATCGAGAGAGCTAGGCGACCTATTGCACGTGCCCCGATTCCCCTCTCAAGGTGAATGACGAGCGATGAGTTATCGGACTTCGAGCTCGAGTGTTTCTTCGCTCTGTTAGGCGCTTTTGCCGCATTACCTGGGCGCGTGCGCGCACCTTCTAATCCGCGACACTTGTACGTGTATATTATTCATCGGCCTACAACAATCGAACGCGGATCGAATTCACGGCAAAAAGTGAAAAATTATACAAAACAAATAAAACCCAACGTCTCTCACACGCATATCTGTTTTTTTTTATTCGGCATCAAAATCAAAATTCGTATCGATATCAGCGTTGTTGCGCTTGCATCTTGACGTAAGTGATGTGATAGGACGTGAATTTAACCGTTTGCATGAAAATAAATAAATAAAAAAATATCTTATTTTCTGACAACGAAATTAAACGATATTATCTCACACGCAATTTTTGTACTCGTCTCATTACCTGTTTTTCGACGAGTGAGGAAACGTGAGTCGCACCGTACTTTCCATCCAAAGAAACACAGTATTTAATTAAATCACGGTATATAGGTTATATTCACGACTTGTTTCTGTACGAGCTAATTGGCTTGCTGACGTAGAGTCGAATCGACAATATTAAGGCTACTGATATCGGCTCGCTTGTATCTGACCGTTTTGAAATAAAATACTATAATAGCAACGTCTGCAATATAAATCTGAAAAAAAAAAAAAAAAACAAACTTTTGTGTATCAAGTCAAAAAGTATGCGCGTTGAAAGAAGAGACGAAGAGATATTTTTCTCCGTCAATGGCGAAAAGTTGATGAAAAGTCACAGTTGATACGCGATCTGTAATAAATGATCAGAAAAAAAATACCTATAAAAGTTTCAAAATAAGTGACATTTTTCAAATACACTTTTTTACGAGTAAAGTCATTTTTCTCAAGTTCTCTTTCTTTTTTTTTTTTTTTCAGAAATGGTTCAGATTAAAACTTCAATATAAATGTCTCGCGATGCATTTACACTTGTTAACGTTCGTGCGCGCGTTTATATTATTACATCAGTATTATAAATGTGATCTGTGTCTCTCACAAATGTCATAGTTCTTCCTTTTATAATTTTGTATAACACGGGTGCCATTATTTTGGCATGATGTGACTAAGAAACCGCGATGAGACACGGCGAGTCGCGCATAAAAATATATAAATGTTGAGACAAGTTGCGCGAAGGTGATAGCTCTGAACGACAGCATGACGATATCCGCCATTTCTCTCGGATAGTATGCAGATCTATTTTCGAGTGGCGGTTAAAATAGCTGAGCTTAAACTTCTGCTAGACACTGTCGGAGTTACCACGTTGAAAAGGAATTAGGTCAGACTCGAACGACAAAATAAGTATCAGCAGCAAAAGTAATTTCAGATAGCGCGACTAGATAACAAAGAATGAGCGAATTTGATTATTAACATTAACTTCGATAGCGCTCTTATCTAGAAGAGACGCTTGTTCCGGAATAACATCGTACGTGGCAACAACTGTATATATAGTTTTTCAATTAAGATATTTGCATATATATGTATCTTCGACTTGGTTACTCAGAGTATTATAAAAAAAAATTTGAATTCTACATCTGTATGTTTACAAATGTGTAATTTGCTCTCTAGAAATATAAACTTTCAACTTATTATAACGTGCCTTTAGTAAAAAAAACCAATTTGTTGCTCTGCTGTTTATCGAATTACACTTATTAATGATGAAGATAACTGACACACAGAAAGAGAATCGTCGAAGAAGAATCGTCGTAAAAAACGAGCAATAAATAACAAATACCAAATATTATAACAATACAAATGAAATTTTATCCGATGTGTGAGAGCAGTAATAATATAACATGTACACACGCGTCGCGAGATGTTGCGCATTAAATTTATTTTAATTACATTTGTAGTCGTGCAACTACTAATCGTTTAAATAAGATTATTTATTTAAACTACACACATATTTGCCGACAGTACCGCAAAAAATATATTCTACATATACATGATAAAAGCTCCCGTGTTAAGATCAATATCGCGTTTCATTACGTCATTTTACGCTGGACGTAAATAGAGAGAAAGAGAGAGAGAAAGAGGGAGCGTGTGAATTTGTGGAAAAATAATCGAGGAAAACTGACCCTTTCATGTACGTTCACGCGTGAGTTATTCTATTATTTATTTTTTTTTTCCTATCGAGTATTTATTCGCTACTGAAACGGCGACACACGAATGCATTACACACCCGGTGTTACACGCGCGAAACACAAACTTCTCCCAGAACACTTGTGTGAAGCGCGCAATATAATTTTCAACCTGTTCTTTCGGCGCTCTCATACGTGCGCTTTATCGTTATCACACGAGGTAGATATGCGAAACGACGAGTGTGCGCCGCGTGACGACAGATAACCTGGATTCCACCGCGTAAAATTCTCGCCGCGGACGGATACCCGTGTCCGCGTCGACGATTGTTTGTCTTTTCGTTGCGTGCAACACCCTATAGGGTGTACGTCGGTTGCGCGTGTTGAAAACGATGGTGGTCACGCTGCACGCTCATACGATCACGGAGACAGCAATTGTACCGGCTAAATTTAAATGCGGGAGGTCCCTCCCGATCCTATTTCCTAGAGAAACGGTTGCATAATCCGGTGGCATAAAGAGCGCGTGGCGCACGAGAGACAGACGACGAAACAAGCGTGAAACTACGGAAGTCGTAGTACGTAGGCCGTGCGAGAGTCTTCCTCCGCGCGCGAGACCGCATGATCGTCGACGGAGGTTTACAAGTACACCTTCCAGGCTATACTACCTGCTTCCTCCGCGATCGATAACGCAATGCCACTCGGCTAAAAAAGTGTACGAGGCAACCGTCTATACCATCGACGCGAGTCGCGTGTAAACCAACAAACGGCGGTCACTTTGAGTTTTAACATCTGATCTTACTCGGCGACTATATATGAAGGCATGAAAAGTGTGTACGTAGGAAAGAGTACGGTCTAGCTGACTGTGTGATTAGCGTGTCGCTACTAAGGTGATATTTTTGTAAGGACGAATTGCTAATTAGTCGATAATTAAACGTCCAGCGCTGTTAGCCTCGAGGTGTTCATCAACGAAAGAAAGAAAGAAAAAAAGAGAACGAATTAGGGGTGGTTGATTTTGTCCAAGTACAATAAACAAGAGAAATCAGTATATAAAGTCTCAAGCAGTTAATTAAAGTGTGAGAGTAATAAGTTTTTCGAGATAAACATATTTAGATGCGTTTACGAATATGTTTTTGACCAAACATGAAAGAATTAAAGTCGAAAACGTGTAAAATATCTGACAAATTAGAGAGTTCGCTTACATTTTCGAAGTTTAAAGATTAGTATTGCGAAGTTGTTTCAAAAAGTAGGTTAGACTCGTTACGAAAATTCCCCTCTGGTCTGTCTATGTATCAACACTTCACCGAGCAGCAACTTTCGCATCGCAATCCGCAACTCTTCCTAAACTCGACAGAGTTTCGAAAAGTGACTCACCTGCTGGAACGGCGGCAGCTGCAGCAGATCTCTTTCTTCAGCAGCGGTGACTTCGAAGGTCGGTGCTGGCTGGGGTGGATATATGTTGCCCTTGCCGGGATACGAGGTGCTCCGACGAAACTTCACCGGGCTGATGCAAGAGGGATGCGCTGCTGCCGGACCCGGATGGCCCGGAAACGTCGGACTGGGCTTGCGACCCTGCAGACCGGTTGCGGCCGCCACTGCAGCCGCGGCGTGCAAAGACGAATGCAGCGGTGGTAGATTAGGCACAGACCTACCGCGATTCCAAGGCGATAGACCCGGACTGGCGACCGCGGCGGCCGCTTGCGGGCCAGCGCCCCACTGTTGAGGGGCCTGCGGTCCACCCGACCACGCGGCATAACCTTTGCCGGGCAGATAAACGCCCGGATGCGATGTCGGCGGTGGTTGCTGCTGCTGCTGTTGATGCTGTTGTTGCTGCTGCTGCTGCTGTTGTTGCTGTTGCTGTTGTTGCGCAGACGACACTTGCAAACCGCCGTGTCTGGCACCGGTGGGCGCGCCTGTATTGCCGTGTTGCTGTTGTTGTTGCTGCTGCGGAAAATTGTGACTGGCCGTAATCGCGCGGCGTGTGCCGCTCGACACGGTAGCACCAGTGCCGGCAAACAAGCCCGCTGGTCCCCCAGTCGGAAAATTCTGAAACGCAGCGATCGAGCCGTTTACCGGCAACGCGGCATGCAGACCACTGTCGTCTGGCGCGGACCACAAGCTAGGAACGCGACCACCGGGATCGGTGAAACCTTGCAGTGCCGAGGTTGTACTGCACGTGATGTCCTTTTCCGTCGACGAAGGCGTCGTCGGTGTGATAGCGATGCTCTCCGCCTCGATCACGTCCTTCGACTTGTCCTGTCCAGCCACGGTGTCAAGTGCGCCGCTCGGCGAAAGAGGTGCGGGCTTGCCGGTGGCCTGCTTCTCGATCAGCAGATCGTCCTGCATGGTGGACGTTGTTATGGTGACAGCAGCGCTGACGTTATTATTATTACTACCGCTAATTCCGCTGTTCGTACTACTGGTCGTGTTAGGTTTCGGGCTGGTCAGGGTACTGGAGAAGAGGCTTGCCGTGCTGAAGTCCCCCATAAATCACCGCGAAACTTCCGATTACCGTGCGTCCGTGTGACGTTGACGACTATCAAAGCTGACTACCAACAGCTCCAGCTAGGCCCCTTCGGAAACTTGCTCCTTCTTCTATTTGCTTCCCACGGGGGTCGTTATTTCGTGACTCGAGGGTGTCGTTGTCGTTGAATGCGAGAGGACCACGCGCGTCCTCCACGTAGTGTAACTCCGACACGAGCTTGCGGGACAAACTATCGATCGACGGTCGCGCGCGTAAAAACACCTACAAGAAAGACCACGCCGCGCGCGCGGTAATCCTCGCGTGTCTTCTCTTCTGTTTTCTCTCCTCTCTCTTTCCCTCGTTCAGTCGCCTACTTCCTATATTTTGCTTCACCTTCTATTTCCACGCGTGGATCTATTTTTCTTCGGGGACTCACGGCGTCACTACACGCGTAGCCTTCGCTTTTCGTATCTCCTCTTCCTTACGACAAGCGTGCTCTTCTCTTAAACGCTTCTCTAGATCCTGCTGACGCCGCGTCGCCCCAGTACGATTCGGCAACGATTATGTCTTCGTGGCATCCTCTTGGCTGTCGGAGAGCCAAGCTCACTCGGTCACACGCGTTGTCATCGTTGTCGCGGCGCTCCGACGCGAAGCGCTGCTCGTTGCGAAGTCCTTCCTGGCTACCTATCTCGCGTTCGATCGCTCGCTTGTTCGAGTAACCGTTTTCGTTCGCCGTCTTACGCGCTTCGTCCGAGGGTTATCCCCTGCCAAACATAATTTTGATCCTCCCGGGGACGCACCGCTGGACCACTTGGAATTCTCCCAAATACGCAGCGCAACGCGCGCGACCTTTTGCTTTCCACTACCACACACACGCGACTACGATACGAGGTCGCTCCGCGGATCGTATCGCGAAGGCGGACGAGAAGGTGGAGGACGGGTCGAGGGCGGGAGGGAAGAGCGTGTGTAACGTACACGATATGTTTCACCCACCCCCGGAGCCCAACGAAACGATGATCCACGTTCTTCCGCAAAGATCGTGGCGACTCTGTCACACTGAACTCACAGAATAATTTCGCGACGAGATCTGATACGCGCGAGAACGACGATAGTTCGGGTTCCACCGGACGTTCACGGATGACTGCAGTATGTACTATTCTTCTTCGACAACGTGTCGTCGTCGACGGTAGCCGATTGTTTCGCGGGGCTCGGCGTATCGGTTGTCGCGCGCGCGATTGATCGATTACTGATAAGCCCGTACGCTGCTGAGACGCGCGGCGCGGACGGAAGAGAGCTCGTCACCGATATGGAAACGCACGAACGCACGAACGCACGCACGCACGCACGCACACCGCGTGAGTCTCGCGAGAACACTGTGACAAAAACGCGAACACGAGCTCGTGTCCGAGGTGCGTTAGCGCGCGGGGTCAGGTCAGGGTTACTACCACCGCCGCGCCACCGACTTGCGACGTGTGTGTCTTCTCCACCCGGACGACAACTCGGAGCGAAGCGGAGCAGAGCGGATTCGCACACTGCGGTAATCACGCGCGGCGGTAGCTTGAAGAGCCTTCCTTCCACACCTCCACCGCCGATCCGCTACGCCTACACACGGTATCGTGCACCACCTCCGACTGCACACGTATATCGGTCTCTCCCACCTCCTTCTTTACGAGGTACGATGGTATCTAGCGCTGCTTCCCGATTCGCATAATTTTTCCTATTTTTTCTCTCGACGGCACTGTCTCTCCCGTCGTCTGGTCTTCGTATCTCCTCCGTACGCCCTCGCGCCTCCGTCGACCGCGCTCGAGCTCGAACGGAGCGGAAGAGAGAGAGAGAAGGGTTGGTGGAGGTGCAAGGAGGAGGAAGTCCGGTAAACTCCAGCCAGCAGAGCGCGTTTCGGCAACGCGACTTCGTGGTCTCTCCTCTGCCACCGCTGCTGCTGCTGCTGCTGCTGCTGCTGGTGCTGCTGCTGCTGGTGCTGCTGCGTCGTCGTCGTCGTGTATACCTCTCTCGCGCGCGCGCGCCGCAGCGGTGCGATTCGTGCGTCGTGCCGACTATTGGAATACTGCGGCCGCGACGCGGGTCGGAGCATGCCACGGCTCGTACGAGTATAAATCGTCGCGTGGTCGCGCGTCAAGCCGTGCGCACTCGGCGATCTTCGCCTTCCGGTCTCCTCTGTCGCCGTCCTCCGACGCCGTTTTCCTCCTCGTCGTCCTCGTCGTCGTCGCCGAACGTCGGTGGTGCTTCGTCGCACGCCGCGACGTCGCTCACGCAGGCGCCCTGACGACGACATCGTCACCGCCATCGCGGCCGCACCGAAACCACCACCGCGACGCCTGGGTCCCCCTTTCGCTCCACCATCCACGTACGCCTCTTCGTCCTCCTCTTCCTCTGCCACCCTCTTTACGACCCTTCACTTATACAGGGTGTCCTTAGTCGTATTCAACGTCACCTCAGTATATTTTATTACAAGTTGGAGCAAAGTTATTGCGTGATTTTTTACATTCAAAAGAAAAGCTGAAACTGATAACACTTATAAGACCAGATGTTCATTACAATATTGTAATTAAGGTAATTTACATGATTGAGAAAAGAGTAATGGCCTTTTAAAGCGTTTGATAACTGTTTCCTTTTCATCAAACATAATTTTCCTAATTAAGTTATACAATCTGAAAATTGATTTTAGCTACGTTTGTATCACGATTGTTTCAAAACCTTCCTCGGGTTAAATTACGATTATATGAATACGGACTCTTAAAAATTGAAAACAATGAATCACATGCCAACTTATATATAAACTTGTATTTTTACTTGCAATGAAAACATTAAAACTTAGCTACAAGAGAAGACGATATTATACAAAAATTTTATTATCTTTTTTTTTTTTTTTATTTTCTGAACTTTAACCCGCGAACTTAAACCTATCATTGTAACATATCGTTAGAACTTTTTGTTTGCCGCAACATTGATTGTAATTTGCAAGACCAAAATGTGATCTGCAAAGTGCAATCCGCGTGCTTCAACGTATAGATATCACATGTTCTATAAATTTAACTGAATTTAAGATAATTATTGACTTGTGTATATGTGTAAGAATAAAACTAATAAAGCAATATATTCATATATATATATATACATAAACTCTTACAAAACCTCTGACTGATAAGAAAAAACCAGACAGATTCTATACAAAAGAAACTTCTGATAAATCCGAACATCCTTGACATAAGATTCTACGGGTGAAGGTCATATCAAGTAAAAGAGTGTGAGCGCACCTTGTATATTGGTTACCTTCGAGGACTCGAACCTTTCCCAACAACGATCGACGCAAGCGTCGCGAGGCGGCAGCGTCCTGATAAGCGGCCGCTCGATAAGAGCCGAGAGACCTGTTCGGTTATGTACCAACAGAAAGAGAGAGAGAGAGAGAGAAAGTTAGCGTATATATATATATATATATATATATAATGAAGGATTAGGAGAAGCGTAAATAAAAATATCGCGACGGACGCGATTTATAGCGGTGGATAACGAGCGCGCGCGAGAGAGAGAACGAATGAAGTAAGCGCCGCGTTCTAATTGCACTCGAATCTCTCTCTCTCTCTCGCCGTCGAGGTATCGTCTTGCCGAATGATGAGTGAGACTGCGATGTGCGGTAAATCTCACGTGATTAGCCGCGAGATGCAAGCAGAGTCTGTATAACACAACTTGCTAGGGTTCGCGATAATTGAATTTCTCTCCGAGAACCAAAACTATTTTTACTTATGTAACATCAAGATTAAAATGTTTTCCGCGATATTCCCGCCGAGAGATTTAATCGTTTTGACTAACTCTTTTCGGCGTCACTACGATAACGAGATGCGACGATAAATTATAGAAATTGCACATTCAGATTGTTTTAATTAATGCGCCGTTGTTATTTGTTTCATTATTTAAAAAAAAAAAAAAGTAGAATATATATTCGATATGTCACCACGGCCGCTTTTATTCTGTAACTTTTAACGCATGCCTGACGCATGCGCGGTACGAAATTTTGCGCGATACAAAGTGTATCACAAAAAATGTAGCTACGTGTTAACAATATGCGATTAACGATAACGAAATTGCCGTTGTAAGTTATTACGGAATATGCGGGTTAGAACAAGATGCGATTTGCCAAATGCGTATGGAGCGTGATGTCTTTGTGACATCCGACGCAGCCGCACATTTGACAAGAATACTTACATGCTACACATCTACATGACATGCTTAAAATATATATTTTGAAGCAAACACTTGAAGAATAATCGTGTTGCATATTTGATATAAGTTAATCGATTGATTAGTATAATAAGATATAATTCGGATCTTATTTAAATAAAAGAGATTGCAACATACCATCGAACGTCCCATCTTAATTTGAAGTGGCTAACTGTGTGCGAAGATACCTACTCGAACTGTAGAGGGCTGACTCTTCAAAACACTTCTCTACACCTGCACCGTGGTTACACTCTCTGCACTTGAAATGAGACAGACGTATACGATAATACGTTAGAAAGAAAAAGCACAAAAATTTTATCTTCGCAAACAACGGACTTGTCTCTTCAACGTGACGTTGATCGTTCCGTCTGGAGTCCCGTCTTTCATTGTATCACGGAAAAAAGTCTTTTAATCTGTCCGTGTATCTCTGTCGCATCTGACATTTTGACAAATACGAGACAGCAGGAAAAAATCTGTTATATATATATATAAAAAGTTTATTACTTTTAAAATTGTTCACAGTGTGTTAATACACCCGCAAAAATGCATAGAATGTTTGGACGTGCTAAAGCCAAGGATCCACCGCCAAGTATCACGGACTGCATTGCAGGGGTAAGAACGGCGAGTTTGTCGTTATCAGAAGAACAATTAACGTTGATTCCTGTTTTTCCGTGACTTTTTTCTCTCAGTTTCAATCGTGAAATTTGAAAACGTATGTGATATCTGATTGGTAAGGTTGACAGCAGAGCAGACTCCGCGGAAAAGAAGATAGCTAGGTTAGACGCAGAGCTGAAGAAGTACAAGGATCAAATGGTGAAGATGAGAGACGGACCAGCTAAGAACGCGGTGAAGGCCAAAGCACTGCGTGTACTGAAACAACGGAAAATGTACGAGACCCAAGTGGACAACTTGCGTCAGCAAGCGTTTAATATGGAACAAGCGCAATATGCCACCCAAACGTTGAAAGATACTCATACAACTGTAACTGCTATGAAAGACGGTGTCAAACAAATGCAGAAGGAATTCAAAAATATTAACATCGATCAGATTGAAGTGAGTTGAAAAGTAAACTGTCATTTCTTAATCATGATCAGATAATATATTGTTGTTTCTATTTGTAGGATATACAAGATGATTTGGCAGATATGTTAGAACAAGCTGATGAAGTTCAAGAAGCATTGGGTCGCAGCTACGGAATGCCAGAAATTGATGATGATGAATTGGCAGCCGAACTAGAAGCTCTAGGTGATGATCTTGCTTTGGATGAAGACGCAAGTTTCTTGGACGATGCCATCAAAGCACCCAGTGCTCCAGATAAAGAACCTGGAGCAAGTTCTGTCAAAAACAAGGTCTGTATTCTGAAAAAGTTATCTAATAAACTGAATTCTGTGCAAAATTAGAATATGTAAATAATAGAGAACTCAAATATTTTATATATAATTTTCTTACTTTGTGAGACAACAAATAAACTTGATTTATATGTTAACAGGATGGTGTTCCGGTGGATGAATTTGGCTTGCCACAAATACCTGCTAGCTAAGCTTAAAGTTGCATCAAAATTTATAGATAAGACAATGTAAGCTTAAGAATATCTGCATGCACGCCCAAAGACATGATCCGTTAAAACAGAACACAAAGCTTTTCTACTCAATACTTCTAATGTGACATAAACAATGCTTTAGCAAAGTTCTGTTGACATATTTTCAGATATTTAGTTCCGTACTAATAGAATTTTGTTATTCTCTTTTAAAGCCACTATTTTTATTAAATTAGTATTATGTTGTACATATACATGTTAAATAATAAATACTTAATAAAATATTAAATATTGATAATAAACATGGAGACAGTCTCTCTACAATATATATGCAATGCATGCAGCTGATTTAAAATACATTTGTTTTTTAGAAATTGACAAACTCGTTAAATTATTTGTAATCTGGAGATATTTGACTCTTCCATGTTCTGCACTTCTGTGTAACATTCACATAAATTGAAAATATTTTCTTTGCTCTCAATGAAGTGTGTTTCTTCAAATCCGCATACTTTCGTATAGTGATGAACATGTGCCTGAAATTTTATGATATTTCATTACTATGTAATGTATAAAATTGTTGTGAAGTTTTGCAAGTTCAGTCGCAGAGTTTTAGAAGCAAACTGTTTAGAAGAAAGCTGTTCGCAGAATAAAAACCACTTGTTCTTGAGAGAGATGTGAAGTGTTTCTACCTTCTTTCTGTACAATTTAGAAAACTCTTGAACTACATCTTTGAATAATGAAGACATGGTAGATGAATTAAGAAGGCACAGTAATGATGAAGAATGTCCTGCTGGAGGAACAGAACACAATCCTATTTTCATACAGTCTCTGCTCCACGAAGTAAACTTCGATTTTTTCTGAAATCTAGAAGTCATATATAATTTACATAATGAAATAATTGGCGTGCGAAAATCTACAAATATTAAACAAAAAGTAAAAACGATTTAAAAAAAAACACCTTTCAATATTTCGCTTCATATCAGTTAATGTAGTATTGCCTCTTGCAATATGTGCAGCCGCAAGAATGACAGAGGTAGACTGTAGAGGATCTAATTTAATTAATTGATTATTTCGCGACCATGCACTGGTAAATAATTCATCCTGCAATCTTAAACATCGTTATTAATGCAGAACTTTCATGTTCTTAAAATGAGAAACTGAAAGAGAAAGAGAAAAAGCTAAAAGAAAGAAAGAAAGCTAACGTACTTCGTTTCTCGCATGGTGCATATATTTGGGGCGGATAAAGTTATGGGACTGATACTACTGAATATATAATGTAATTTCGGATAAGGGACTAGATTCGCAGCTACTTCATTCATATCCATATTTAAACTTCCTGGAAATCTGGATCCACTGAAACAAATTGTTGTTTTCTCACAGCGCCAAGACTCGTTCTCCTTCGTAATATCTTAAGAAAATTTAATTACCTGGTTAGATGTAAGAGCATGTTGACTATAATACTGTTCATATCCTGAAATGCCTTACATGAAACATTGTAATTCACTTGGCTTATATTCTCTCGTTTATTCAACTGAGCATTACATATATCTAAGAGAGCTTTATTTTCTACAGGAAACACACAAGTAGCGTGTTCTATAAGTTCCTGAGTTGCAAGCAAAGTGTTATAAGGTGCAGTTATAGTATCTTGCATATTTGCTGGATACACACATGACACAATTCTGAAATATTTATAGATATATAATTCTTAATATTACAATTTTTAAATAGTATATATATATAGTAAAATTAAAATTCAATATTAACTGATGTTCATACAAGGCACACCTCTCTACATGAGGATAATTATCTTTTAATAATTTCAAGATAGCCGTGCCTAATCCAGATCCAGTGCCACCTCCCAAAGAATGCATTAACAAAAATCCATGAAGTCGATCACATCGTTCAACTACACGTCTTATACTCTCTTCTATACGATCATGATATTCTTTACCATGATCATGATATCCTATTGCCCTAAAAAGTCACACATTCTCTTCTCTTTCGCTGCGTTTTTATATTTAAGAATATACATAAAAATTGTTTTTTTACCAATTGTTCCCAGATCCTGGATAATTTGTAACAATACATGTTTGATCAAATAATTGTCTCAGTGGACCTTGCTTGAATCTAGATACTACACTGTCTTCCATATCTACAAGAACAGCCTGTTCTCAAACAAAATATTCTGTTAAAATTGAAAATATTACTAAATATATTTTTCTTGTTAGAAAAAAAGATAAAATGCAAAAAAACTATATACATACTCTAGCTTTAACTTTACTCTTGTTTAGATCAGCCACATTTTGAAAGTGTAAGTTTTTTGCTTTGTCTGGAATTTGAAAGAAACTGTGAAAAGCATCAGACAGATCGCTGATGTGTTTGATGTGATTTCTTTGCACTTTGAGCAAATGTACACCCCCAGTTTTAGTTTGGATACCATATTCGTGCAAAGCCAAAGGCCAAAAAGCTGATCCTATTTGATTTCCACATTGGCCAACTAGAACATATTCATGTAAGAAAATAAAGTATAGTTTTTTTGTTTTCTTTAATACATTTTTTTCATTTGTGGATAAAATCTGATGTACTGTTTTATTTGAGATGAGTATAAAGTATTTACCTTGTATTGTAACAAATTCGCTCATTATTATATCTAGAATTTAAATTGTCACTATCACTCGTCATTCAATTTTAAGAAATATTGAGATATATGTAAATGTTACTTCTTGCTTTCTGAGATATTTGCTATTTTGGCATCTGTCAGTTAAGGTCATGGGCCAGATGGGCCCGATTAACGACGTCATTTAAATCGCTTGATGAAATTTTGTAGCGTGATCGATCTATCGCATTTATGTCTGCATAGGTCGACGCCGCTCTTACGATCTCTCGTTATGTATCGAGATAATTCAAATTTTTTGTCGCTATTTTTGCATTATCAGGTGAGCAAATTGGCGGCATGTCGCAAGTATAGTGAATGTGATATTATTGTATTTCGTGATATTATTGTATAAGAAAAATTGTATAATTAGGAAAATGAGTGGGACAAATAAATCGAAGAAATGGATTTTCTTGTGCTTCTGCCTATTTCAATGCGCGTATGCTCGACGTATAGTTGAGGAAACAAGTAAGAACTTATCTAACCTGTACTTGCCTGAGAGACTTTGCCTCGACATTATCAGAAATTAAGAGTTAAAAATAGCTACATATCTTTTTATCACATTACATGAATAATATGTCAATAAATCTTGTTATTTAAAAGAAAAAGCAAAAAAGCAAGATGTATTTTGTTATATATTTGATTGATGTTTCAGGAGTGAATTTTCTGAGTGCAGGTGATAGCGTAGAAAATAATAGTCCTGGTTTAAAAATATATTGTCATAATGCAACTTCCAAGTATCTAACACATATGTGGAGAACCATGACTGTAAGTTAATACATACATATATGTGTATATACTTCTTGTTTATTGGTGCTATAGCTTGAGATGGGCCAGGGCCTCCAGAAGCCTAGTCTTTCCATTCAAAGATAATAGAGTGCGAGCAAGGATCTACTTTTAAGCTTCTAACCATTACTATTGCTCCGAGACTTAACTTTCAGTTTCTTAATATAAGTTTTTTACGAGGCAAGGTTAGCACCCAAACTAGAGAACTAGCTGATTAGAGGCCCGATTCAGTTTGCCAGTCTCTTTCATTCAGTAAATTTGACTGAAAGAGACCGGCCTAGAAAAATCCAAAGATATGAATTTGAATTCCACATTAGGGGACCTTCCTACTTGCAGACCCTACACTCAGACTGCGAGACCACTGGGCTGGTCGCATGTATATACATAATACAGATATGTATATATATTTTTAAATATAACAATACATGTAAATATATATTATAGATGCATCTGAACACCAATACAGACTCCTATGATTTATATGATGGTAAAACTTCTTCTGAAATTTATCAGAAACATGAACAAAATCAAAGATTGTGGAGTTTTGTTTTCCTAGATTCAGGAAAACATACACAGTTTAGAATCAATCCTTTTGAAGATACATGTATAGGTGTTTTCATAGATCCTTCCAATGACTCTGAGTATATTATGTCTCTAATAGAAACACGCAAGTATCTAAATAAAAAAAGTATAAATTTTTAATGTATTATCTAACAAGTAATGTATAATCATTATTTGTTTCTATAGGTATCAATGTTTGGGGATTGACAATGATGCTAACAGGTATCATACTTTTTTGGTGTGCACAGTTATTAAGCCAAAATTCATTATTTTATTATATCTGTGGTATAGCATTTGGAGTTTTCTTATCTCTTATAATCCTAATATATATGGTAGGAAAATTAGTACCACGAGTAAGTATTATAATGTAATGATAACTTCTAAAATTTTTATAATCTGATAAATTATTTTATACGCACACATACATATGTATAAATAATAGATATACACATAAATCTACGTTTTTTATTAAGGGAAAAGTTATGTATTTAATGTTTGCTACATCAATGAGTATTTATCTTGCTCGGTTATTGTGGGAAAATGCACAGTTAATTGTGGTACAATACAGAGAATGGGTGATGTGGTATATTCTTATTACTTCTCTGATCAGTTTTATGATCTGCTATCGGTTTGGTCCTGTTACCAATGCGAGAACAAAAAAAATAATACAGTGGTTTTTACAGGTAAACTAATTTTCTATATATTAAATATTGTTTTTATTGTTGTTGACATAATTGAAATATACGTGCTTAAAATAATTATTGTATTTGCATAGCTTATAGGTTTATTACTCGTGTATAATAGCAGTCATTTCTATGAAGCTTCTATTTCATGCTGTATTCTACTTGTACTTCTTTATAATTTTCCGAGAGGAGCTTTCGAACGAGGAAAGAGATATTGGTAAGCACAGGACGCTCTGCAGCATAACAGTCACTTTTTTTCAATCACATACTACATCTAGCTGCAACTGTGTAAAACATTTTGCGTTTTTCAGATTATTTAAGCAAAGTTCAAGTTTGTGTTATGCATATTCTATCTTAACATTGCTTTTTCTCGATAGCTTTATATTTGTGTGCGCTTTTACATACTTTTTTTACATAATTTTGTATTGATATTTAAAATTTATTTAAGTACGATATATAACATGTATATACACACAAATCATGTGTTATGTCATTATTATAAGTTTTTATTTTACATAATAAAATTCAATTATATGTTAACATCTAATTTATTCGATATCAACAATTGCATTCTGTATTAGTATATAGCTTTATAAATATTTTTATTTAAGTATTATTGTACTATATGTATGGCAGTATTGCATTTTGAGTTTGCAATAAAGTACATTATATCATCTTCTGTTTTATTAACAAAAATTATATAACAAATTCAGATATTCATATGTTACATCAATTATCTTGTTTATTACATTTTATTTTAGAAGAATATTTTGTAAACTTTTTTCATGCATGTAATGTGCTTTTCTGATAAAAATAATAAGTACGGTTATGTATTTTCCTTGTTTTGATAACTTCTCTAATATCATCAATAATATCATTAATATATTCATCAATCGATAATATCATCAATATATTTGTTGCGAATATTCTGTGTGTGTGAACTATATAAACACATGAGTATATTTACAATAAATGTTTTCTCCATATTTCTTCTAAAATTTATTTTGAATAAGAGATAATATATCGTTTTATCTGCTTATTTTTTTTGTTTAAAAAAGGCAAAGAGCTTTTCCGGAAAAGCGGAAGTTGATAGATGAAGATCAATATCGTTTGGAAGGAGTGCGAGAAACTAAAAAAGCTTTAAAGGAATTACAGACCTATTGCTCCAGTCCGGAATGTAATCCGTGGAAGACCATTTTAAAATTGAAAGACCCTATAAGGTTTATACACACACAGAGTTTGTTTTTAGTTTGTTGGATATACACGTGAAGATTTATCAATATGGATGTATGAATTTCTTTTAGATTTGCGAAGTTCATAAATGGAGATTCACATTTGTCAGAATATGAAGTCGAGGAGCATGAAGAAGAGCTTTCGAAAATTCTAGATGAAGATGAATACACAGACGATGAATAAGGATTTATACCACATAAAACTGAATTATATTTAATTATTTGTTTTTTTTTTGTTTTTACTTTAGGATTCACTATCAGGACGAAAGTGTATTTATTTTCTAACTAGTGGCTTTTTTTGTAGCAATAACTATAAAATACTTTTTTGTTTATATAAAGTTTGATTTATATTTTCAATATAAATATGTACTATACCTATATGATAAATTTATATGTCAGTTTTTGTGAATAATGTTTGCTCAAAGATATCTTGTTATTTATATACGACAATATCAATTATTAATAATTTATTTTTAGAATTATAGTTTTTTAACTATATATTATAATCATATTTATAAAAGATTGTAACAAAAAAGATTGTAAGGAAGTTAATTCAAAAATACTAATCCTCATAACATTATCTCAAGGTAACATGCTCATCTATATTTATATCATCTACATTGTAATAGTAATCGAAATAATTGTAATATGAGACTGATATTTTGTTAACGGTATTTTTTCCTAATTATATATAGAAGGTGACGTGTGATAAATAAATAGAATATTAATTAAATTGTACTTTTTTCTCTTTATATATACATATAACAATTGTCGTAATTTAGACAAATGTGATGTATAAAGTTTATTGTGTGTGTGTGTGTGAGAGAGAGAGAGAGAAGAGAAAAAGATTCAATTATAAACCGATCAAGCAACAAGTTTAAATACTGTTTTAAAGGTTTTACATTATTTCCTTATAGTTTTTAAATTGTTTTAAAAAGTAAGAAGTTAAACACTTTATGGGACATATCCCAATAGCTTCAAGAAAGTATATAATAAATTAAACATTTCGACCATGGGCATCAAACTGAGAGGTAAGAAGTGAGCATCCGCTAGGTAATTCAATATTGTGTGCAATCCTGGTAAAAATATTCTAAAGAACGCTTGCGATAATAATGAAGTTGTTGCACGTATCATTTCATTGCTTTGACTTTCCATCGCATTCAAGAAGTAACACCATATATCTTTGGTCGTTTCAATCGGATGCAGCATCATTTGTTCGACCAAATCGATAGACAATTTTTCTATCGATCTATTTGTTGAGCATAATAATATATCATTTACAAACTTTCTAAACTCTGATACAGATCTAGTCAAAACGTTATCTCCAGCAAATCCTACTATTCTTAATCCCATTTCTAATGGCGACATTAGGTCTCTTATGAGACATCTCTTTTGTCTTGAGAGAGATTTTACCAGAGGTGCATTTGGATATTTCGATATGTAATTGCTGTCATCTGTAGAAATCAAACAGATATTTATTTGGCATATAAATATTATATCAACCATTTATATAGATATAATTGTTAAAATTATTTATTTATTATTTAGTATTTCTATTTTTTTAAATAATATATGTATGTAGTATATTTAGCTATCGTGAAAAGAGCGTGTAAATTATTTATATATCGAAATACTCGATTTTTTAAAATTGATAACTTCCATCAGACATATGGTGTGTATCAGTTTTTGTTATTTACGAAAGAAATACAAAAGCATTACTTATTAAGCAATTTAACTATTTTAAGCAATGTAATTCTTATTGTAACTTACGTGTTATTCCTTTTATTATGTCGACACTTTTTTCAGCATATATGCCGAGAGTTCCGTATATCACGGCCACACAGACAACGAGAATTGGTATCTTCATCTTGCAAATAACTGATCTCAACTGAAAAGTGTCAGTATTTTCCGTCGTACTTTCGTCTTGTCTTCTGTTTTGTCGTAAGTTTTCTTGTAAAGCCAGTTTGTTTGTTCTGACGAAGTCTTTTTATCGTATTTTGTTTTTTAATCTTCAACAGAAATAATTATCTTGAATAATCTTTTGACAACTTGACATCGTAGCTGACATGTTTCCACACGCAAGAAAAATGGCCAATGACGCGCGCGACAAAGTAAGTAAACTATTTCAAACTAAATTACGTCTAATTGCTTGCACTTAAAGTAAACAACTTATTGCGTTTAATAAATCTCAGTTTGAAATAATTGAGTTTTTATTGTAATATATAAAAACTCACGTACGCGTGCTCAGGTTGCACAAAGAATGCTTTTTGTCGAAAGACAGTGTCAGTTTTAAACTTAAAAATATGTAAAAATGTTTTTCACGGACAAACGCTGACGCATACTAGTATGTATATAAGGTTTGTTATCAGTTAATTTTGCATATGGAAATGATCGCCAATGACATTTATGATCAACTCACTTTATTTTCGTTATCACCGCATTTCAACGTTAAGAGTCAAGCTTTCGAGCTTATTTTTTTTTTAGAGAATATGAATGATATTAAAGAAGTTATCGAGAAAAATATATATATATTATTGTATCATTTCTTATTATATTTTTTTTTTTTCAAAAACTCACATTATACACATGAAAAGTTTATATAAATAAAATTTATATAAAATACATTCTTTTAAAGTAAAATTTGATAAGCAAGAGAATGCAACATATGAAATAATAAACAATGTATCTGTTATACATAAGTCTATAACAGAAATTGTTTACAAAAATATGTTTGACTACTTTCATGCGTTTTGCTCGCAATTTGTTCCCGAACAAATGTTGTTTTCCTAACATAAAGTTATGGCCTCGGTTTTTGAAATGTTAAGCACGCGAAGAATTTCAAATGCTCAAACATTTTTTCCTCTTCTGTACACGAACGAACTCCCTATCGATTGTCTTTGCAACTCAGGAAACGTGGCTTCATCAAGGTTGCGCGCTATAAAGAAGTGAAAATAATATGCAACATATTTTTAACTAATTAGATATAATTGTATATTTGTTCCCGAACAAATGTTGTTTTCCTAACATAAAGTTATGGCCTCGGTTTTTGAAATGTTAAGCACGCGAAGAATTTCAAATGCTCAAACATTTTTTCCTCTTCTGTACACGAACGAACTCCCTATCGATTGTCTTTGCAACTCAGGAAACGTGGCTTCATCAAGGTTGCGCGCTATAAAGAAGTGAAAATAATATGCAACATATTTTTAACTAATTAGATATAATTTTGATAGTCGAAATACAGCGAGCAAAGAAACAACACACCTAATTTATTTTTAAATAGCAAGAATTGCACAATTGTTACTTTTTGGCCATAATATGCAAAACAATATGAAAAAACGATAATATATCGTCTAATATATCTGTGACCAGTTTTCTGCAAATTAATGGACTTTGTATTATTAATTGTAAGTAAGTATATCTTAATTGTTTATATAACATTGACAAGTCTTACTTATAATTAAGATATACTTAATCTTACATATAAAGTTTTGTGTTTTTGTTATTTAGTACGTTCACAGAGCTAATTGGCGTTGCACAAATTATTGAACAATGTAATTTAGATTCGTACAAACATGAAATATATATATATATATTTATTTATTGTGAATTTGTTTATACAATATGAGAGTTTAAAAATACACGATTTTAATTCTTTTATAGATTATAGAAAACAAATATGATAAAAAACAGCATTCGTTAAAAGTTAAAAAATTTTTTATTATTTTTATCGCATCTGTATCTCTCGTAGCAACCAAAAAAAACTACTACTTTCTTCATAAAAAATATATATTATTTTTTTTATCGTTTGCTACTGTGTTTTTTAGATGTTTTTTAAGATCGTTCTTTTGTTTAGTTGTATTTGACTTGCGATTATTACAAGCGATATGATGTAATTTGCGCATCGATTTATGTGAATCGGTACATGATATCAGAGATGTGCGTAAAATAATGTTATTGTTCTTCCACACTAATATCTTTATTTTATCTAGGATATGGATTGTGACACGCGTTTATCATTACATGCCACCTTCGTGTTACATGAGATTTTATCAAAACATCCATTATTGCGGTTTATGTACATACATATATATACATATATATTATAATTCTGTCGCTCAATGTTCACTCAATTATGTACAAAATGTTCATAGAAATTATCGATCGACCTGTGTCCTGTGAGAATTTTCAACGAGCGCTCATCGATCCTTCAATCAATTCACGATTCGTAAATTATTTTATTTCATCGTTAAACACCATTCTCTTCACTTTAATTCTTTCTCTTCAGACGATACACGGAGAATTATTTGAGCAGCTGTTCGGCTCGCATATACGGGAGAGCAAACAGTCCAGGAGAGAAGAAAGCAAACACGTAATTTACTCAACGTTCACGGAATATCATCGTTTGATATATGCGGGTGCTGATCGATCTTGTTTATTTAAGATTTGACTTTTGTTCTTAACAATCAACTTTATCTTCGCGCTCTAGTTTAGTTAGGCGTCGCAACAATTGTTGCGATCGTAGCAACAATAATTGTTGCTCGGAAAGATCGATCATTGCATTAAGTCTTTGCGTGCAACGAGGGTCAATTCCGATACATAGCTTTTATCTAGTATCTCAAAACTAAACTAGAGCTTCGACCGAGAGTGCAATGCGAAACGCAGTGATGATGCGACAATAAAATGCGTCGGATCCGGAAACGCGGAAACTCATCGTATAATCGAACTGGCTCGTGAGACCGATCGGAATGATGTTTCGGCGCAAGTTCGACGTTTCCTTGCTCGCGGGTCTGATCGCTCTAACGTGGATGACGGTAATATTCGATCTCGCGTGTGGTCAACTGATCAGGCCGGTTTATGTGTACGAAGGTCTTATCAGGGACATTCATGATTACTTTAACAACACGTGCATCATACTTCTGCACGCCAATTCAAATCCCATCGAGACGCAAGGTAAGAGAAGCATTTCGACTTCTTCTCAAGAAACTTTATTAGTACTCAGAGAAAAAACGTGAGATCATTGCGTTAGTCGTGAACCAGATCGCGTTCGTTTTTCCTTTGCAGGACTCGCAGAAGCCGATCGTTTGCTAATTCTTCAGAAATATTTGAGTTCGACTCTTCATATACGCACAGCGCTCATGGATTTTCAAATGTTTAAAACACGAGTGAGAGCTTAGACAAAGAATACGTTTTTATCATTAATTTACTATTATATAAATAATTTCTATCGGATATATATGTATCGAATAACGTTTGTTTTTTGCTGAAAAAAAAAGAGAAAAGATTTTTTATTGTCTTTTTTATAGGTCGGTCAAAGTTATTACCACATCAAAAGACCTTTGTTTGTTATATTAAATGATCACGAAGAAACAAGAAATAGTTTTGCTCATGTGAGTGTTGTTTGAAAATTTAATTCACACGTTTATTAGTTGTGTGTTATTTTATGTTGTTTATAAAATTATTGTATTTATATAAAACATTGATGTGGGAAAATAAGGTTTTTCTCTTTATAAACTTTTGTCATATAATTAATATTAGAAAAGTGTTTAGAAATTTTTACTATATATACTTATAAATATAAAAAAGTTACAAGGTTTTAGAATAAAATTTTGTCGTAAAATATCGCAATAAAACCAACGTTCAGGAAAGGACTGATCAGGCAGAATATTTAATTACAAAATGTAGCAGGTCTCGTCATGGATCGCAATGGCTTATCCCACTTGGTTGGTCTTCTTTGATAACAAAACTACATTTTCGGACTTTTTCTTTAAAGTTTATGTGCCATTTGACTGCGAATTTATGGTAGCTCGCAGCATCGACGACACGGGACGAGAGATCATCAATGAAGTATATCAAATTGATAAAGAGAAAGAACTGAGATCGATGAGATTTGGTGTATGGGATGTGAAGATAGGTCTAAAAGGTCCTAAGCACGGCTTATTTTCGCGAAGAAATGATCTTTTCGGTCAGAAAATACGCGTTACGTCGGTTCATGTAAGATCCCATCCTAATCGCGCTTATGTTTCTTACAAAACAATTTATTGTAAACACTTCTTGAATAATTCTCGAAGTGATGATTTTGAAAAATATTTGTTAAATATACAACAATTTTATATTTATAGGATCCTCCTATTAGCTTGTTTCATCGAAATAAACAAAACGAAGTAACAGGAATAAGTGGTTTTTTTGGAGAAGTACTTTTGCTTCTGCAAGAGGGACTAAACTGCACGTAAATATTATTAAATAAAGAAAAATATGTAATACAAAACTACATGTGTATAAAAAAGAGAAAGAAAGATACATGTTAACTATTAATATTATCACAAACGCAATATCTTCTAAATGAGAACGCAATTTATTAAATTAATTACAAGTTTTAATTTATTTATTGCGTTCTTTGCTCTCGGTTAGAAATAACTTAGAAATCATTTTTTATCTTCTTTGTCTTTATCTATTTTATTTTTCTCTTCTTCTTCTTTACGCCGTTTTTGTTGCTCTCGAAGTTCTTTCAGTTGCCTAGCAGTTTCTCTTCGAAAGTATTCATCTTCGTGTGCAGCTCCTTTCTCCTCAAAAATGTCCCTCTTTCGACCATCGCCGCTTCTTCGACGTCTTTCTTCTGTATAGAGTCTTGTACAGCAAGTTCTAATTATAAATATAAATTTTTTAATATATTATATATGTTTTCCCATATATATATATTTCAGATATTCAACATATAAAAAATTAGTCGTGCAACTCTTATACATGGAACATAAAATAAACTTCAATATTAATATAATAATCATAAAAGAGGTTACATTGTTTTTCTTATTCTTTTCGTGCTGTTCCATTTTGTAAAAAAACTGCGCAGCATGACGTCGTTATCGTTTCTTCATTATATATTCTTCCTCTGTCTCTCGTGTTTGTTAAAACATGTTTAAACAAGTTGATATTGAAAAAGCGGCGTTTATTATAATTTTTGACATTTTTTTTTATTTTAGTTGTGACAGTTCTCTTCTCTTTCTCTCTCTTTCTGCCTCTCAATGTGAAGTTCTATCAAAAACGACTCTCTTTTTGTTGTTTCACTTGTGCTTATAATTCTGACACTTAAATCTGCAGCGCACATTTTCTTTTCGAATTGCATGCGAGTTTCATGTAACGATTTGACAACAATTCGTTGTGATTTACAAATCACGATCGGTCAATTCTGACATTCGCCAGAAAGCGATTCAGAAAGAAAACATCGTGTGCCGTAGATATTACTTGATAATTTACGTTTACATTAAGAAATAAAAAACAATAATATATGCTAAAGAACTGTATAAAACAGTATCTCTTTATTATATTTAGATATATCATATATCACGTACTGCGTCTCAAATTTTAGATTTACATACAAGGAAGCTCAATCGTGGGGCATGTGTCTGTCGAACGGCTCGTGCACGGGTGCAGTCGGAATGTTAATGAACAACGACGTCGATTTCGCGGCAACCGAGTTCGTGATGACCTCAGACAGATTAGACGTCATCAGTTTTACAACGCCCATTTACACAACCAAGTATTTCTAATTCGTAAAACGTCCAGAATGTGATAAAAAAATAATAATAATAATAATAAAAGACACTTTTATTTCTCGAAAGTGGTTTATTGACATAGGACATTAAAATTAATTTGAGAATCTATATCAATAAACGATTGTCTAGCATTTAGACTTTTTCACGTGCGCGCGAATCAAATGGAACAATTAAAATATGTCGTACACATTTGTTTTATTTGTTAAGATGTCGTGCGTACATCGCGCGACCGGCGCCGGCGAATGTAAAATGGGACGCCTATACGGCACCGTTTTCTGCGAGCATCTGGGGCGTCATCATTCTCTTTATAGTAATTATGAGCGGTTCGATCGTGCTTATTCGAAAATTATTTCTAATTGCATCCTTAAGTCTGCGGATTGACGACCCATCACCGTCAAGATTCACGGAGATTCTGTTCTTCGTCTTAGGAGCGTTTTGCAGTCAAGGTAATCATCATTATATATATATATATATTGTCTGTGAATCGATATTCTTTTCTTTTCTAATAATCGATTTTCAAAAATTGCATATAATTTTTTTTAATTTGCAAACATTCGCGATATATCGAATAATATCGTCAGGCATGCAACAATCCACGTTGGATCCCGTGAGAATGGTACATTTTGTGATTCATTTAACGGCCGTTGTGATCTTGGCCGCGTATTCCGCCGCTTTGATCAGTTTCCTCACTGTAAACACGTTTGTAATGCCGTTTACGACCATGACCGGTCTTCTGGAAGACGGGACCTATCGTTTTGGAGTCGTTGGTGATTCGGCCGACTTTGGTTTCTTTAAGGTATCTCACAATCTCTAAATCATTTCTAAATCATTTCTAATTAAAACGACGAATCATGATAATTTTGTTGCAATAGAACACGTCGGACAAAATAATAAACATGTTGTTCGACAAGTCAGTATCGAAAGAAATTGATCTGCCGATCAATTACATGGACGGTTTGGATCGAGTTTGTACAGAGCACAAATACGCTTTTATGACACTGGATAATATGGCAGCGTTGTTGCAGCAGAAGGTCAATTGCAAACTGGAGCCATTGGATGTCATCACACAAACTACCGTTGCGATGGCTCTACAACCCAACAGCCCCTATCGTGGTATCATCAATGCCAAGTGAGTGCGAGATCCCTTGTCGGCGGAAATTAAATATTTAACGATATATACGTGTCATATAATAATTCCCCGCAAAACAAAAAAAATAAAATTTACCCCGTTAAGAAACAGTTTTTATATATACTACAACAAAAAAAAGTTAGTCATAAAATCTGACAGTTTACGACTAACTCTTTGTTTTGACAATCGCAGCAAGAGTATTTCGCTCTGTCACGCTTCATTCTTATAATTGTTGCAATTTTATATCTTCTTGAGGAGCGCTGAGAAATGTCATTTTATCGCTTTACAAAAAAAAGAAAAACATTTTTTGTTTAACAGAGTACTTCTGATTATTTTGAAAATAATACACTATTTTTGTTTTCATATATGTTGCAGTATTCTTCTGCTGAGAGACGGCGGAATCATGCAGCGACTCATGCAAACTCAATGGTCTGTCGAATTAAGCGGAGTAAGTATTTTTGAATAACAAAATTTACTTTTAAAAAAACCTTACAATTTAATGTTATTTTAATTTAACACTTTCAGTATGAAAGTGCGATTAAAACTACTATATATGTTAACCAATGCGTCAATATATATCACAGATTTCTATACTACACTAGATCGCTAACTTAGGTAGTGGGGGTAGGCAAAAAGTGAAGCCGAATTAGGATACGCCGCCATTTGTAATACGGACGCGCCAACTTCACACATTTCTATACTGCACCAACTTTTAAATGAATTAAATTTTTATTTTTTATACCAACAAGTTAAAAGTTACAAAACATAAATATTTGTATTTACAAAGACAGGAATCATATTTAAAAAAATATATTTATTAGTGGCAAACGATTATTTAAAGAAAAAGTAAAAGTATGTCGACTCCGTTGCCTTAAAAAAGCGTTGACGTTTATCTTGTTACACCACTGGCGTTTCTTACACACACAATATAACGCGATGTAAATGACATATTTCTATACTGAGAATATACGAAATTATAAGTGTTGACAGGAAGTTCAGCCATTTGTAATGCGGATAATGATGATTGGTGGCTTCATCCCCACTACTTAAGTTAGCGATCTAATGTAGTATAGAAATCTGTGATATATATCTTTCAAGTTTATAAAAAAAAAAAAAAATACTATTTTCTCAAAAAGCGTTTAATTATATTTGTTACTGATTGTAGCCAACTTCATCATGGAAGTCGGTCGAGATTGGTGACATAGTGCCATTGTTGCTTCTTATAATTGGCGCTTTGTTCTTCAGTTGCTTTATTTATAGTTTAGAACGAGTTGTTTATAAAAGTCTCGTGAACCGACTCAAGTTAAGAACGAGTACATTACGACAATCAAGAATGTAAATAAGATATATATATATATATATATATATATATATATATATTGTATATATATATTTTGTATACTTTGTAATGTACCTCTATGTATATATACACATACATGTAGTGTTTGTAAGAAAATAAAATAAAAATTTATAAAGCAAAGAGTAACAAATAATAAAGTAAAAGATGCAATATCTGAATATAATCCATGAATTCTGATGCTGCTCGCTATAAATCTTGTTTTCTTGACAATTACACATGTGTTATGTAGCAAGTTGTGCGGATCTTTATCTCTTTTCTTATTTTCACGGGTCCAGTCAGTTCATTTCTCAAAATAAATCAAATCGACGTCTGCGACAGTTCGCTATTCACGTATCTGTAAAAGCGCAAAACATATAGTAATTTTATTAATAGTAAAACAGCACAATATATGATTGAAAGAGATGTACTTAATTACTTACTTCATCTTGCTCGGCACTCAAAACTTCAGCAGCTCATTTATTTCTTTTTATAATTGTAAGTACAATAACGCTAGCTTACGGGGCGAAAAAGCGATCGTAAAAACTCTTACGGGCCTGGCCGCTCTCATTCGTCTCTCTGTTGGTGCACATAGTACAGAACAGAACCACATCGAAGATAAAAAGTACTTTTATTCATTGAGTTTGTAAACGTAGTTGACATGTGCAGAACGTGGCGCTAACATCACAGCGCTCGAGGACGGGAAGACATCAAAGAACGGGTGACGTCCGTTTGACCACGGTACGATTGAACACAGTACTATTGCACACGTACTATTGGACGCGGTACGATTGACCACAGTACGATTGGACACCGCAAGATTAGCATACTGTACGATTGACCACCGTACGATTGGACACAGTACATTTTCCGACATTATATACATTTTTTACAAATAAATATTTGTATTTCGTACAATTGTACACGTGTAGGCGGGGAAGGAGTTCCGCTCCTCCCCCTACACCCCCTCCCCGAAAAACTCTAACCTAACCCAACCTTTGTTACTATCATCATTAATTTTCACGATACACATTGTCAATTGTACTGTGTCCTATCCTATCCCTATCCTATTCTATCCTATCTTATCGTACCGTGGTCAATAATACAGTATACTAATCTTGCGGTGTCCAATCGTACTGTGTCCAATCGTACGTGTCCAATAGTGCGTGTGCAATCGTACTGTGTCCAATCGTACGTGTCCAATAGTGCGTGTGCAATCGTACTGTATCCAATCGTATCTTGGTCAAACGGAGTACGCCCATCATGGGCCTGGTCGCTCTCAGGCTTCTCTCTGCTAAGGCCTGTTCTACAATACAGTCGTAAGCCGTAAGTCGTAAGAAATTGACCAATCACAGACCAATTACAGAAGAATAATCGATTGTGATTGGTCAATTTCTTACGACTTACGGCTTACGACTGTATTGTAGAACAGGTCTAAAGAGCCGTCTACAATGGAGAGTTGTAGGCCGTAATAGTAAGAAACTGACAAATCACAATCGATTATTCTTCTGTACTTTGCCTGTGATTGGTCAACTTCTTACTATTACGGCCTACAACTCTCCATTGTAGACGACCCTTTAAGTGCGATCAACTCCGAGGAACGATCGGAGCGTTGCGAGCAACAAGTGGAACGCAGCCCAGAAGTAAACCATCAGAAGTTATGCGGAAGTAGATGTAAACAGATGTAAACAAGAATTTGATTTGAATTATATACGTTGTAACGTAAACTGTGTATTGTCGCTAGAAGTGCGGTGCCTCGAGACCTTGCTGACTCGTTTTATCGCAGCGGGAAGATGCAAACGCAGACGTGAAAATCTTTTTAATTGTTGTGACGAGAGTGTAAACACACGCGCGCGTTTGGCGTAATAAGTGACGCGCATTTGTATATTGTAACCTAAGACCTAAGACACTCGGTATTAATAATAAGCAACATTCGAGCGATTGTAAATATTAAAGCAAACGAATATACGCTCCGTTCGATCGTCGCGTTCGTTGTACGCGTCGAGAATTTAATATAAACGTTCGCGAGAAGCGTGAGCGACTGAAGTGATTCGGCGAGCAAAGATATAAGAGAATGTTTCACAGACATTTAGTATGGAATACGATTCGGAATCGAGCTGCGAAGATCGCGACTTGAGAGATTTCGACAAGTCGAACGAGCCAGCGCGTTCGTTGACAGAAGCGCCCGAAAAATGCACTCAACAACACAATCACCACCACCACACCTCGTGCCATTCCTCGCTCACCATCGCGGAACAACCGTCGAGATTCGCGTCGAATGCAGCGAAAAAGAATCTGTCTGCTCAGGTGATGGAATATTATCACAAGTATTCCCGAGATTCTAATCTGGATCAATATTTTTCGCTACCCGTGTCGAACACTCCCCAAGAAGCTGTTAAGTACTATTACAGTGTGTACGAACTGAGTGCTCAGGTTGGTGGTTCGTCAAGCAGACAAGATTGCATAGGAGAGGAATACAATTTGAAGTCTTACGTACCAAGAGAGAGACGTAGATGGGTAAGACCTCCTTTGATCGGACAATCTTCGAGTACGGATGTTTCGTCTAGATACGTGCAAACACTGACAGATCTCCAAACGCCATCGCCTGATTCCAAGCAAACTACACCGGAAACGATAAACGAAGACAAAAGCAGCAGTCAAGAAAAATTTTTAGAAACAAGCGACAGAAAGATATCTTCTCCAACTTCCAGCGTAGCGTCGTACAAGCCATTGGAATGGGACAGCGGCGCAGATGTTGGTTACTGTAATTTGTTAGCTAATAGCAAGCAGGATGAAAAAAAATTAAGTACCATAGAACGCATGGCTCTTGCGCGAGGATGTTCCGCTGCTTTGCGATTAGATCCAGAAGGTACAACTGAATCTGGAATACAGTCTGGAAAAAATACGGCAACTCAGAGTGGTCCGAGGTCATCGGCAGCTCCCAATGCTAATTCCACGCCTTTGGTTGGAAATGTTCTTTCTGGATCGGAGAGTGAAATAGAAATAACACCTATTGTGAAAAACCATTTGCCAGGTATCATCACAGGAGATAACATAAAATCGCAAGAAAGATATGCGTTGAACGAGCCCGCACAACCAAAAGCTATTGTAAAACCAACGAAGCATGAGATACAAAATTTTGATACATCTACATTTTCAAATCCGTTCAAAGTACCGTTGCTGAAGGACACAACGTTAGAGAGAAGAATCTTGAGCAAGGAGAAAGAAATTACACAGTTACCGCTTTCGCCATTGAAAAAAAGCATCTCGATGAATGTGATTCCCCCTTTGTCGTCGAAATCATTCTTAAAAAGAAGTCAGAGCGAATTAAACTTGCACGCTAAAGAGAAAAAAACCGTATTGCCTTTAATCTTCAACTCTACATCTTCTATCACGACTGTGGTGAATAAACCTGCCACTTGCGACAAAGTAATACAGACGAGTCTTGAAGTGTGCTCTCAGGAATCTGTGGGTGTTCAAGTTTCGGATCTTGAAGAGAACAAATTGCCGATAGCGGACGGAGAGTCCACCGTGCAAACGGTACATTCTATCCTAAAAAAGTCCAAAGGTACGTACAAAGTTAAACATCCGAAGAAAAGCGATTCCGCGCATTCAACGGTTAACGTCGACGTCGATAATGAAGGAGCGAAGAAGAGTCAGAAGCGTCGGAACAGCTCAGATATTTCGCAGAACGCATCGACTTCGATAACGCCGCAACCCGATGAGACAGAGAACGCGTCCGGGAAAGCTAACAGCTTCGAATATTTTCCAGGTCACACTTACGCGAACGTATCGAAGGAGAAAGATGATCACGTTTCCTCGGATACAGGCAGATCGAATTCGACATTGCCAAACAGCAGTTCCAGTGTTAATGAAAAACTCTGGGGAGATTCGGACAGCTTGGTCCGAGATCTCGAGAGAAGCGTGAACATTTTGAAAAGTCTCGTTGACGCCAATAAATGCGACAAGCAAGTTAAGAAACGACTGATACAGCATGTAATCAAACGTCTCGTGACTGCGAAATACACAGACGATAAAATCGAACATAATTTAGAAGATAATGTTCCTTGGAATCCAGACGATGCCAGGAACAAGGTTTACAGAGCTGAGTTGCTTCAGGCTTTAACGAACAAGCACAGCACCACCGACTCGTCGGAAGAATGGAACTCGCGTAAGAAAGACACGTCCGCCCAAAAATCCGTGGGAACCAGCGACGTCATAAAGGAAGTGACCTTGGGAAGCAGCAACAGCGATAAATTCGATCGAAACACAGACAGAACGGAAATGGACGGTAGAAAGGCGCGATTAGGACTGAGAACGGACGACTGTCAGCAGAGCAGCAACACACTTACGGATCCTGATAAAAGCGAGAGCTCCGAGTGCTTTGTACCTCAACGTAATCACAAGAACCCTAAAGTAAACGACATATTTTGTTTCAAAGATACTTGCAAATTGCCGCACAGAGAATCAACCACAACGAACAGTATACCTCCGGATCACAATAGAATTTTATTGGACGCTGTCGTGAACAACAGAAGAACGCCTGTCGAGTCTAACAATAATACGGACAACAATACCGATTGGCGATTACCGACCACGTCGTCGGAGAGGCAATTTGAGTTAAAGAAGTGTAGTATGTCCGAGTCCGGTGATTCGAAACTCGTTAATTATGCCGAGATGGAGAAGAGAAATCAACTGATTTGGATCACAAATGAGATCAGTCATCTTTGTAACTTGAAGAAGTACGTAATCTGCAATTTTTTTCCATTAAATTTATCTTTATGCAGAGTCAATATATTGAATGTTTGAAATAATTTTGTTTCTTTTTTTTCTTTCAATGTAAAATATGTTTAACAACACATTTCGTGTATATTTTATAATTTATATATATAAAAATTTATATATATTTAAAATTTAAAAATTTATATATATTTTACTTGCCAGATTATTAGAACAGCCCAGACGATTGGAAAGACCGAAAACTTCGCCGAGAAAAACAAAATCAGCAAATATCAAATCGAAGCAAACGGCGATACTTCGGCGGGAACAATACGCAGATGCTACGACTAGGTAATACGCGATACATCAACAATGGCTCGCGACTTATTATTAAATTTATGTTTTTGAATTTTCTGTGAAACAGGAGCACATCCGATCTGCGAGAAGATTCTGTAAACGATCTGTGGTCGTCTCACTGTAACTTGGCAACGTGCGAAGCTGCGAGCAGCAACATAATTCAGAGGGTAATGAAGCGTAATAGTTGCACACAAACAGCCGCGAGCGCAGCTGTTGCTTATTCGAAAACCGGAGGAGAGATTGTATCTGCGTCCAAAATGCGGAACATCGCAACGAAGCACGTCGATGTCGGCGTGCAAACAATACCTCCTCCTCGGGAAACATCATCGTCGACGCCGGTAGAATCGGACACGTGCAACGCAAAATACGCGAATGTTCACGAATCGTGCGCGCATCATCAGTCTAACGCCAAATGCAAAGATCAATCGTGCCAAACGCATACTACTCGCGTTGTGCAATGCTCGCGATGTAATCAGAATTCGTCTGACACGATCAAATCGCGAAAGGACTTCGAGGAAGACGCGTCGATTGTCACAACGCAACAGACGCAACAAACGCAAACGAATTACGCGAGCGACAATAGCGCGACGGAACAACTCACTTTGCGTCGCACGCCTCAAACAAACGGCATACAACAGAAACAAAAAGAAACGAAGAATCAGATAAATGTTTCAAAGTCAAAATGTAGCTGCACTCATGACGTTTACGCGTCTGTTAGCGATAATAAATATAGCTCGAACATCGCTGAAACCAAACGGGCTGAACATTACAAACCATCAACGACATGCCGATTGTGTTCTAAGCCGAAGTCCGGTGTGGATGTTAATAATACTAATACTGTTTATATATGCAATGTGTGTCAAACAAATTCCACCTGCACGCACGAAGACACATCGAGGAACGGTCAGGCACGCGCTCGCGCGTTGTGTGAACACAACGATGTTCCTGTTAACGGTGCGGATAGAAGAGTTATTATTGACAAATCTCGACAGAACGGTAACGCGGAAAATCAGAGCAAACGTACAACGGCGAAGTACAACGAACAATTTGACGCTGGAAAAATTTGCGATTGCGCGAGCGATTGTGCTGTGTGTCGCACTCCGAAAATCACGGAAGCGTTATGCGAATGTCGTTCGAAAATAGCGGAGCATCAATTGCAAATTTATTCCGATGGGTCGCAAGACAGCGACACGGTTCAACAACGTAGAGTACAAAGTAGGTTAAAATGCGATTGTGATGAGGCTTGCTCCTGTAGTAGTGGTAATCAAGCAAAGAATGTTGTCAAAGAGAAAGTATGCAGAAGTTTATCAAATCCAAATTTTGTGAACGATATCGATATTAATGAGACCGACAGAAATTGCAAGCATTGTCGCGTGTGCGGTGCAATGTATCAGAATACGAAAAAATGCAGCTGCCGTCAAACTTATCCCAAAGCTGTGGCTTATGAATTATCGTTCGCAAAAAAAGGTACTTCAAGGAGTGAAACCTCCAACGTTGTTCAATTAACGCCAAACGTTTCCAAGCAACCGTTGAAAACGGTAAAATCCGAGGCTTGTCTTTGCGATATAAAACGTAACAACAAAAATGTTCGTCAAAAGAGTACATTGCAGGTATAAAGACTTGATTGATTTGAAAAACTGAATTATAATCATTGAAATTTATTTTTGATATGAAATAACGATTTTATAAATTACAATTTCAGGATTATTTATCAAGAAACAATCCCGAGTTCGTCGGCAATGCGGAAACACGCCGGCAATATTTGTCAGAAATATGCCAGTTACGAGAGTTAAGAAAAGAAAAACGAATACAGTTGATGGCAATGGCCAGTACGTCAAATATTATTAAAACTTCGCCAATACGGAAACCAACAGGTGAGAATATTCATTAATTTTGTGATTATTCATGACAATCAGCGATTTTTAGCATTCTGTTGTAGAAATTAGAATGTTTGTAAATTTATATATTAAAGTGTCATATACTAATATCTTGTTGTTTTACGCGCGTTCGTGCGTGTAGTTTCCTTACAGCGTAAGATCACCGATGAAGAAATGAAAGAACGCTTACGTAGACGATATTTGCGGCTAAATGAAGTTCGAGCTAAGAGACGGCAACAGGAACGGCAAGAAGAAACACGTCGAAACAAGCTTATGGCAAAAATCTTTTGCAAGAGATTGCAGCAAAAAGTTTTACGGGGCCAAGTAGACTTGTCCCAAAGCATTAGCGTTATATCCAACTTGTAGAATTGTTAGCATCTTTTTGTGTGCCTTTCCAATCGTAAATGTTCACCACACAAGAACTATTTTGTGAATTTTGTTATTACGATGAGGTTTTCTGTCTGCATCTGGGAACAGAAAGTAAGCAAGTTTTAACAAAGTCCAAGAGATGGTTCTTGATGCGTTACCTGAAGTTTTGTAAGAAAATCTATTTTTAGACAAGCGATAGAAGAGTCTTAAACTGTTTCATTTCTTTCAACGAAACATACATATGCGTTCTATACTTCAATTGTATTATCTCAGGTAGGTGCATTGAAATTTCATTACGATATGTAGTGTGTGTGTGCGTGTGTGTTCTTCGGGAAAATTGCATACATTAGTCTCGAATTTATTAATCTATCAGATAATAAATTTGAGCCTGTGCTGTAAAATTACACACACGTAACTTTTTCTCATTAACTTTATCTCTGAAAGTGCAAAATATATATATAACATGACACTAAATAGTACAAAAATATATTGAATCTCTTTTTATATATACGCGCGATTTATATGTTTTATATATATATATAATAGTAGGAAAGTGGCGAATTCGAGGCAATAACTAGATCTTCGTGTCAACAAACTTCTTTATTTCAAAAACTTTGACAAATGTTTCGACCTTAATTTGGGTCTTCTTTAGTGTACTTCCTGTAAGTGTCAAACTTTGTAATTTGGGATACGCGTTATCAACCCCTTGCGTAAGATTGTTTAATATAATTTATAATTATTATATGTGTAATTATTATATGTAGTACACCGAAGATCTGTTTATTGCCTCGAATTGGTCACTTTCCTACTATTATAAGTTTTCACGAGGAAGAATACAGAAGTTTATTTATATATGTATACATATATATATATATATATATATATATATATATNTATATATATATGTATATATATATCAAAATAACGGAGAATAGATATTTTAAGAAAATGCGATCTGTTTTCTGTCTTGTTTTACAAATAGTACGATAGAAATATTGATTTTTATTTATAGAGAACTGTGTTGTATTACTAACAGGAATAATTCAAGATTTTTCGATACATGACGAAATTACAAATATGACAAAACATATCATCGATCACACACCCCATCGATAATCAAAACCGAACGCTTTAAAATAAGAAGCATAGTTTTACGTAGTACCTGAATTTTGTAGTATACCGTGTATACAACAGTTTTTATTATATATATATACACAATTAAATGCTAAATAAATTCTTTTACATATACATGTACTTCCACGCACGAGATTATTAAGAAGTTACATCTTTTTTTTTTTTTTATTGTTTTCCTATATTTATCCTTTGTTGTTTTCTGTCTTAACTATATACAAATTTACACAGTCTTAAATCTTAAATAAAGATTTCGAAAACAATTCCGAACAATATGAGGGTTTTCTTATTATTTTTGTAAGTGACATTGGAGGAACATTATCCTTGTCATTTCTGTAAACTGATGTCAGCGACCGCGACTGACCGCGACTGAGTTTATTTTCGACTATTGGTTCCACTTCGGACAAGCGTGTACTTTCTCTTTTGGTATCTGCGGTCTTTATGGTTTTCTTGCAGTGTGTGTGTGTGTGTGTGTGTAAACCGCGTTTTGCTGAAGGCCGACTCTACTTTCTAGTCGCGTTTCTGTTCATTTCCGCCGTGGGAGACGTTTGTGCGGAATATAGTGGCGTGAAACTCGTTGAATTCACCGTAATTAGTATGCGGACTTGATGAGAAGATCGCCCTTATTTCGTTGCTGGCCGTTACCATACGCGTTCCGTGTCAAACTCGATCACGGATTCGTTTTTAATATGAGCTGTGAATCGCTACATAGTCATTTGTATATAAAAAAAAATCTACCGCAATCATCTGTTTGTTCTTTGCTGTTCGTGATCTCGTAATTTTCACGAAAAATATAGCGGAACGTTTTCGAGAGAGAAAATGAAGCGATGGCGGATATCATGAGACTGAATGTACTTGTGACACTTTTAGGATGTGCGCTACTTCCGTACGGTAATTAATTATCAGTTTTGATAAAAACGCACTCAATATGTATTTGTGTACGTAAAACGATACGTGCACGAAAGATAAAAAAAAATAATCGAAATTAAACTGATCAAACGTTGTAGACATCGTTGTTCCGGCATTGAAGTCTCCGACGAATATATAAGTCTCCATTATTACGAAAATAGATGATCAAAGAATAAAAATAATAAATATACACGTATATGTAAACAATATGAATATTATTTTTCTTAACAATGTTATTGTGATTATATTTAATTTAATTTAATTTAATTTTTTATAAGATGTAGTTTTTAAATCTCTCTTTAATTCAATCATAAATCCAAAGTATGTTTACAGTTTATGCGGAAGAAGATACCACAGAATACAAAGGAAAATATTTAGGAAAATTAAACGCGTATCATCATCAAGTATCTGGTGATGTTTGGGCCGTGGACCAGCACACGTTGCTGCTGACAAACTTTAATTATGATGGCAATGGAGCTGACACGTTTTTCTGGGCAGGTGCATCGAACAGACCAGGCCCACAAGGATTTATTGTTCCTGATGAATGGGGCAAGTACGTTTCTTTTTTTCAAAAGTATATTCAAACTTCTGAAGAATAAATTTAATAGTAAACTAATAAATTATGTGGGTTCTAATAAAAATTGCTTGTTTATAGAACAAATCTGTTGGATCGGTACTTTAACAAGGATTTTACATTAATTTTACCGGATAATAAAAAGATTACAGATATCAAGTGGTTTGCAGTTTACGACTTACAGAGTCAGGTATTTTTCATTACATGTTTTTAAGAACAAATGATCGAAAAACAAATTCAATTAAAATAATAATGACTTAAAATAATTTTCCAATCTTATAGAACACTTTTGGTGACGTGTACATTCCAGACGAGTTTGATCCACCCGCGCCTCAGAAAATATCGCAGTTATCAACAAGATCACATAACGTATCATCAGAATCCATCATAATTTTAGACTCGAAAACTATCAGCATTCCTCAGTTCACCTATAACGGACAAGGCGTAGACACGTATTTCTGGGTCGGTGTTGGACCACAACCGTCTACCAAAGGTCAAAAAGTTCCCGATGAATATGGATAGTAAGAGAAATAACACAAAATTATATAGTTAATTATAGATTTTTAACATACACAAGGTTTTAACTACAAACACTAAGATTTAATGAAAGTATGTAAATAACAAATAAATGTATTAAAATGTGTGCGTGTGTAAAAACACAATTTTTGTCTACTTTTAGTATGGATACTATTAGAGAATATAATAATGAAGATATCATACTAGAGTTGCCAGGTGATATGAGTATCTTCAATATAGACTGGCTGAGTATTTTCGACGTAAAGACAAAATCGAACTACGGTTCTGTTATTATACCGGATGGTCTCAACGTGCCACCGTCGTTAGTAAAAGTTATTAAGCAAACGCAATCTCTTCCTAATTGCGTTCAGTTGCACAAGCGGTTTCAAGTCGCCTGGGAAATATTTGGTCCACAAATTACTATTCAACTGAAAAGTCAAGTCGGTATGTATATTTATTAGAAAGTTGTAGGACAATCATCTGGATGTATATAAATGTTAAAACTAATTAATTCTACATAAACTCAAGAGGATAAATTTATGAAACTTTCAAATAATACACACATCAATGTATACATATATAAATTATTTAACATGCATATTAGAAACATATAAATATATGTTTATATATTTTTTGATGTTACCAGACGAAGATGAATATGTGGCGTTTGGTATATCCGGTTCGGAATTGTCCAGCAAAATGGTAGGTGCGGACGTAGCCATCGCGTATATGGACGACACACGTGGATATGCTACGGATTATAATATTACAGCTAACGCACCAGTGTGTAAACCTATCAAGTTGCTTAATTTTTTTTTTAAATATATAAATTAAAAGACGACACGTTAATGAGTATTTTAATAATTACTTATAGTGCGGTAAAGTTCTCGGACAGTATAAGGGCGTCTGTAAAGACGATCTTCTCGGCGGTTTGGACAGCAATCAACTTTATACTGCAGTAAGAGAAAACGGCATTAACACTATCACGTATAGGCGTACGCTTATCTCATGTAAGTAATATGATTTCGTTATACTTTTTCTGTGTAAAAGAGAGTACTACAATCATAATGTAAACAAGTTAAATTTCATTTTATTTAATTTTTCCACAGCTGATCCAGGGGACAGAGAATTTCCTACAGATAGACCTGTCTATATAGTTTGGGCTTTGGGTAAGCTCGATAAGACTAACAACGATCCGAGCTTCCATGATTTATATCCGAGAAGTGACGTAATACTTGAATTAGGCCGTAAAGAATCAGAGAACACGTGCAACGACTTCACCGAGAATAATAATAAATATTTTAACAGGTATTAAGAATGATAATGGCGACCAAATTATAAAATGTGGCTTTAATACTTTACGTCATAACTGCTATAATAGCATTTTTTTTCTTTCAGAGAACCGTGGCAAAAAACAGAGATATTTGATAGAAGCGTCAGAACTTTCAGAGCAACTATCGGACCTTCTGGAGGAAAAAGAGGATATCAGGGAATCACAGGTACAGTTTGATTTATTCTTTATCTAACAATCATTTTTCCATGACATTCTACTGTATGAAAAATATTTCACATTTTATTTGTATATATGTATGTTATACAGTGTGTTTCAATCATTTCAACATATCAAATTTTTAACTTTCTTAACATTTAATTCGCATATTCGTAGGAAAACCGTCAGTAGGTCTTGCCTGGTACATCCAAGGCTCGCTGATACCAGAGTTGTATCTACGCCGTGGGTTGACGTACAATTTTCACGTTCACGGTGGCAATAATCCACATAGCGCAAGTCTCTACCATCCGTTAATAATAACCGACGATTCTTACGGAGGATACGATACGCTTAGCGATCTAGCGCAAAGTAAGATTAGGGTATTAGCTGGCGTCGAGTTGACCAGAAGAGGTAGACCACGACCGACCGCAGGTTTGCAGATCTTTCTATGTATCACATTTATGTTTATAAAGCGTTATACGCTATTATTATATTTTATTTTAATTGTTTACTTTTGTAGTTGGGCCTCTTTGTTTAAGTAAACATAATGGTCGAGACAGAAGACTGGACGATAATTTCTCATCCTTTAGGAAATTTAATAGAACTCTCGTGCAAGTCTGCGAACCAGGTACAGATCGCGTCTTTTGTGTAAATCTAATTTACATAATATAAAAAAAAAATCAAGTACAGTCAAACTTCCCAGAATGTATACAGTCGGGACCGACGAATCTCCCAAAACGTATACTTCCCCTGTTCCCTCACGCATGCGCAAAGACTTACTTGGTATAAATTCATCTCGCCCTAGCGCAGTTTTGGTTGTAATCATACTTAGCGGTGGGAAAAGCGATGAAGGGGAAAATATACGTTTTGGGAGTATATGTTTTGGGAAGTTCGCAACTGTATTTTAAACTCGCTCTTTTCATAAAGTTTGATAAATTAACAAAAATTCGAAAATAATAATTGTTGGAACAATATATTTTACTTTTTATAGGAAAAGCTGATATATTGGTGGTCACTCCGAATTCTTCGTGGCCTGACCTGGTCTATTATCAATCGTTCACGCATCCGAACATGGGATGGAAGATTCACGTGGTCGATTCTTATATGGAACGGAGTGGAGCATTTACTTGTAAATTATCGTTACTTATTATAATTACAAATTTACTGTTCCATCTAATGTTATACATCAGTTAAGTATAGAAATTATAAAAAGTAAAAATTATTTTAAAAATGTAATTATGTAAAAAGTATGGAAGAATGCATTCGATGCTCACATGCGATTTAGTACGAAAAAAGCATCGTGTGCCGTAAACCTAATAAGTTTAGGTAATCAGATATACATGTCTACATTTTTAATATAAAAACTGACGAATTCCTCTTATACTAAAGCCTGTAGAGCGTAATTTAAAGTTGGTCACATTACAAGTCACACTTTTCGCAACGATCGAATTAAAATTAGGCATGGCATAGCTCTACGTGAGAAAACAAACATTAAATAACATTCTACGAACACTAAGCGTTACAAGATGTTTTATGAACAAACAATAGATTTATTAATCTTTTGCTGGAAATAGAGGTAAGTCATATATTATTTATTGCGCACGTATGTAAATTTGCATACACACACAAGAGAACAATCAATAAATCAACGAATCAATAGTTAATACAAAAGTATATATTCTTTTTAATTGTTATGTATGTGTAGTTGTCTTCTACAAACATGAACTAAGCTTTATTTCTTGTATATATATTTTCATTGTGCAAAACAAAATCTGAAATGAGCTTCTAATACTCCTGTTTACAATTTAAGTATTGAACTTGTCACATTTGTAAGAATATTTATGATATTTATAATATATAAAATAAATTTTACTCAGAAGAATTAAATATATTATAATTGTTCACAGCATTCAAAGAACTTGTCAAAGTGAGCATCATTGCACAAATTTATGTGACATAAATTTGGTATTAACAATTTCATATTTGTAAAATTCCAATTAAGTAAGTCAAATTCTTGCAAGGTTTTTAGGTTTCCTAACTGTTTTAATTGTTTAGTATAGATAACAGCTAGAAAAGTAAATAATGATGAAATATTGTGTTCATGAATGTAAAAACACGTTAATTTTCTTGAAGAAATATGTACATTTCGATTATTTTCTGTAAACGGCTTTAATAGTTGTTTGAAATATTCATTCGTTAATGTTGTTTTGTCGCATTTGAGAATATGCAATGTTGTTAATTCTGGGACCAATAAAAGCAGTTTCATAATTGTCACTGCGCTCACTTCACAATCGAGTTTGATTTTCTTTAAATGTTTTAAAGGAAGAGGATCGTTTTCTACTTTCCAAGTTACTAACAGAGAAGAAGTAAAGACAAGTGTATGTAGATTAAAACAGTTTCTCAAAATTTCTTTTAAAGTTATTGAGACAGTATAATTCTTAATAGTTAATTCATGTAAATTGCTATTTTGTAGATAAATATTTAAAAATGTAAAATCTTCACTATATAAACATATAGACAGTTTTTTTAGGTTTGGACAAAGATATGTTAAAAACTCTAGATAACTAGATTCTAAATAGTCAAATGATGCTTCGGTCAAATTAAATGGAATGTTTAAATAGCTAATTTCGGTATATAAGTCTTGATATACACATATTATATCCACTAGTTCGCCTAAAGGAAAAGGTGATATTGATTCAAGCTGTGGAATATACATTAAAGCGTGCAGTATACCTGTAACATTAACATTAGTATCATTGATGTTAAGTATCTTCAGTATATGACATAATGAATTGATTTTTCCATCAAATTTATTTGACTTTTCTTTCTTTTCTAATTCGAAATGTATGAGTTTTTTGTTTAATGTAATAAGCAATCTTTCACGACTACAACTGCAGTCTTCGCAAGTGATTGATGGTCTATAATGATTTTTTTCAGGTATTTCTAATCTTATTCTATCACGCAACTTCACTGGGAAAAGTAGATTCCTTATACCTGTAGTTGTTACTAACTTAGAATAACTTACATCTAACATAACGAGATTTGGGCAAGTTTTGCCTACAATGTCAAGTAATTCGTCGGTGGCAACATGCTGAATCGTCAAGCTCAACAAGTTCCTCATATTTAATAGCACCGAATCCAATAATTTCCAAGTAAAGCTCGAAAAGGAAGGCGGACAACATGATGAAGTTGTAGAATGGATGAACTCAAGTAGACTGGGATGATGCTCCTTAATAATCAATGATTCGAGTCCAATTCCTTCCTCAAGTTGTTTAAACAATTGTTTTTGATGATCGCAGCAATAGGAACAGCAAAAGGAAGAAATAATTAACAACTGTTTCATGTTACGATTAAAAAGAATTGCCAGCAAGTATGGTATTAGTTTGGGAAAGTAGTCATCGTAATATATCCACATTAGGTTGTTAATTTCCTTTATAATTTCAGAACGCAGACAAGTCGGTAATATTGCATAGTACGGTCTGATTGTCTGTTTTGCATAAGTTACCATGACCTCCATAGATTGTTGGTGCGAAAGCTCATCCAAGCGCAGACATGTCTTGTACAGATGCTGGCAAACATATCTAAGACTGAGATCATTTAGGGTACAGAGCTGAGGCATCTCTTCTTGTTCCATATTGTTCGTCGAATTGTTACAATAAGCTGCGTTACAAATAGCTGCGTTCACCAGAACCGAGCGTTACAGCAGAGTTCCGCTTAACTCTAATTATTCGCTTGAGGTCAATAATGAATCTATAATGAAATTGGTTCGGTAAAATTCTTTCTCTTCGTGCTGCCACTTCAGTATTGTACACTCGTCAGCGTCTTTTTTGTGTTTAAAATTCTTTAATTTTCTTGAGATATAAATACTCTCAAAAAAATCTATCTTTTTCAGCCACTTCCAAAAACGCATAGAAAACCGGCTTGATTTTATAGTTTATCCAGTTTTTTTCAAAATTTTTTTCTTCATTCTTCTTTGCAGCGGAAGAGAACATAATTGATATTTTTCCGTTAAAGCGAGCCTTTTTTCTTCTGTTAAGATGCGGCTCGAAAAAACAGAACAGAAATAAGTATAGTGGGAAGTCAATCAGTCATAAATAAACGATTTCGTTCCGATTTTAACAATGATCCCATGAGACATAATTTTACAGAGTTACTCTGATCGCATGATTTCCCGTAAAATTTTTTCGTTTCACAAAAGCGGAATAAAAACGAGTAATGATGGAAAGGCAACTAGAGTAATTTTGTTCCGTACAATTGTACATGTGATTGAAAGAGCATGAAAAGTCGGAACGCTCGTTTATTTGCGATTGGTTAATCTCCTACTATAATTTTTTCCGTTTTGTTTCTTTGAATTGCATATGACCGCATCCTAATGAGCATTGCAGACAGAACGCGTTACGTGTGACAAGAAACGTGATGGCCAATCAGGATTTGCTCTTATGGAAAAGCAGCATATTAATTGGCTATCGCATCTATAACTGCGTAACGTAACAGTCATTAGTCTTGTCTGCAGATATCATCCCTGACGAAAATGAAAAGTTTTATAAACGTTTATTTGACGTTTGTATGAGCGTTTTGTGGAAGTTCGTAGAAAATTTTGAAACGGTCAGTAAAAAGTTCATAAAGCTGAAATTGCAACGCTACAGCGTTTGAAAGGCGTTTGTATAAAGCGTTTCTGAAAGTTTGCATAGTGTTTACGTTAAGCGTGAGACGAAACAAAATAGTTTATTAAGTTAAATACATCTAAACATTCAATAAAAGAACTTTTCGCGACTTGCGCTTTCACACAGCTAAGAGATTTCACTTGAATTAATTTTTGGAAGCCCGGTTCAGCTCGCCCCAATCAACCGATAAATTCCATTAAAAGGAACCGGACCTGAAAAAATCCTAAGATGATAGCGGGATTCGACGAACTCGAGACGTCTTCGTCGTATTCGCAGCACCTGCACTCACAATCCGCAAGACTACTTGTTCCTTACTAAAATGTAATTATTTTTATCTACTTATTCTCAAGCTATCTTATACGGTTTATTTATAATTTCTTTAAAATATTATTTTATTAAAAAGTGCAGTACAATGTACCTGCAATGGGTAAAAATATTTTTCTCTCTTATTATTATTAAATATGATTTAAAGTATATTTTTACAACGCGACCAAATTTTTGGTCTCAAATAATGCTATATTTAAATCAAATATAGTTTGTTACATTTATGTTAAAAAGTGATTTTTTCATTAAATAATGCTTTATTTAATGAAAGAAAAATTTAATAAAACATTATTTCGTTGAAATAAATTATTTCAAGCACTTATATTATTTCCTTCATATTATGATTTAGTATAACGTAACAATACAAGTTTCATTCAATAAAATTGTTGTTTGATGTTGAAAATTATGTTATTTGAATGCAACACATATGAGTCAAACAAATCGGATTATTAAATTTAAAGAAACCGTTCTCTTCTTGTATAGACTTGTAAACGTTTGTAAGTGTTCAATAATTGTTAATCTAGACTTCAATTCTTAAATTTATACAAAAATTTTTTATATGCAAAAGTTTTACTCACTACGCAATTACTGACTAATATATATTTTTAAATTTAAAAATATATACTAATTAGTAATTATATTAAATAATGTAATATTTATTAAATTACATAAAGCTATTACATAAAACTATTACATAAAAATTTAATCTCAATATAATTAAATAATTTAATATATTAAATATATGTAATATATATCAATAGTCTTCTTATTCTTACAATAAACTGAATTATAATAAATGAATTGATTTTTAATGTGTACTTTTTAATATTTTTTATTACTTACTCATAAAAGCATTTGCTAACGTTTGAAAAGTCTGTCAGCAAACTTTGTACGAAAATTTATCTTTGTACGAAAATTTATCTTTGTACGAAAATTTATCAGTATTTAGTGAGCGTTTCGTGAAAAGCGTATAAACTCTCAGAAAATTCTCATTAAACGGTTATCAACGCTCTGTAAAGCTTCTTATTTTCGTCAGGGATTAGGACGCGATCTTATCATATTTCCGATTAACTTAATTTGGCCGATTATATTCTATTGAAATTGATCTAAAACAGATTACACTTTGCCAATTAACTTAATTAGAAGTCGTGTTACCAATCTTTTAGGTAATCGAAGATAATAAAACTTATATAAAACTAACTTGTGTGCGCATTTGATTCGATTCTCGAACATTTTTCGCTCAAAAGTTTCAAAAATAAAAGACAAATAAGAAACAAAAAATGTGTGTTCTAAACCGTTTCTTTGAATTCTAATGTTTTAATGTATATAACTTAAATAAAGTCTTAATATTATGTCATTATGTATTAAAAACGGATTTTTTTTTTGCTTTGCATATGTGTCATATGAGCGATTCGCGCTCTCACCCGTGGCAAGGAAAAGACGCTGCTTTTCGTTTAAACACTTTATTACAACTCAAAATACAACAGTAATAACGAAATACAGAACCGAAACGTTCAAACGCGTCGTGACAGTTTTCGCGGCCGCGATCCTTCCTCTTGTCAACAACATCGTCGCTAAGGACAACTTTGTCTTCTTTTTGTCAGCTGAACGGCGCGGCCGAAAATACCATTGAGCTTTGACCAAGACGCTTGATTCCGCATTGACCAGACAATTCTAAGAACGCCCGTGCTTCGGGCTTTGACAATAACATGTTCATAAAATCATCACGAGACTGTTCTTTTTCACTTCACTTTCTATAATAGTTTGTACTAAAGGTATCATATCTTTTTTTTAATCAATATATATTTTCACAACCATACATATCTTTTTTTTTATATAGAATCTTCAAATTCTATTCACCAATAAATCACTCGATCATATCTATATAAATTGTCACATTACAGTAACGCAGACATAAAATTTGTCATATAACATGTTACATTACATACACATTATTGTTATCTTGTTGTTGCCAGTAAGTAACAAACTATATAATTATTTCATTACAGAGTTATATTGCATAAATAAGAGAAAATTATATAATAAATATCCCATTAATAAATATCCCAATATAATAAATATCCCAATTATATAATAAATATCCCAATATAAATCAAGAATAACAACTGTTACATTATATGTTACTCCCATGTTATGTAGCAGTTATATTTTGTGTTTGCTGGGAATATACATATAAATATATTAATGCGAAACTTTCTTATTTTTCATCAAGTATATCCGTGTTAAACTTAAGACCAGTTCCATTAACATGCTTTTGAGTCCATTCGTCGAATCGTTGAGCAAGATCTTTCGACATGTAATTTGTCCAATCGCCGACTTTACCTTTCCGGATGAATTTGAGATCTGTGTGATTCTCTTCTGGGTTTATGTTTCTTAATACTAGTTCAAGGTTCACAGACGGATTTGCAACCATTTTCGAAAATTTCAGATGTTCGCGCAGTCCGACGATTTGTTCGTCCGTGACCGTTTTATCTAAAAATTTCGCTACTTTTTTGATGACCGACACCTGATCCTGAAAAAAACATGTAATTCTCGTTTTAGTAAGAACAATTCATTTATCAATCAACATTTTTAAATCACAGAAGTGGATGTGCTTTCTACATTTTACCTTTTTCATTTCTTCGTATGTCATGAACAGTACGTTCTCTTGATTTTGAGAAATTGTCCAGAAGGGCAAAACACTACCCCAAAACGGGCTCATTGGAACTAAAATATTTTTACATTTGTCTTGTATTTGACATTATTGATAATTTTGTGACAATTTTGGTTCAACATCAATGATATTTTTTACTTACCGCCATCTTGCAACATCAATTCTGCAAAATCGTTGAAGCTGCCTTTGAAGCCGCGCGCCGCGTGAAATGCTTGGCAATAATGATAAAAACTGACACAGGTGTCTTTTGGATTTCTTGTATTGTAAATTATCTGTTACAAAAAAAAAATTATCTCTTACAAAAAAGATATCAACACAGCATATAAAGCGATATCACGCGGGCAGAAGTTTTACGCCGTTTCTTCAATTTCTGCGATTTGTACCTTTGGCTTTTTTTCTTTAAGTTGTCGCGGCAACAAATCCAATGGCAAATGCGACTTGATGTATCGAGGTCTCGGCATTTTTGATATGTTTTCAACGGAATCGCCAAGCTTTGCAAACCACTCGTCATAGTCTCCGTTTATCATCAGAGCCGAACCTCTAACAGAAAAAAAAAAAAACAACGACAAATAAATCGCGAATGTGAAATCATTTTACATAAAATATATCACGAGCTGATAAAAATTGACTAACACAACGACTTACTCGAGCAGAGGACATCTCATGATGAAAAGCGCGTTGCGCGCGCTCTCGTAATTAAAATCATTTCCGATGCACCAAATCATTTCCGATGCCAAGTGACTTCCGGTACGAGGATATGAAATCACCCAAACGTCGTCCTCATACACGGTGAAGTCGCGTATCTTTTGTGCGCAAAAAACAAAGGTTGGCGGCAACAAACAACGGCCAGGACTTACTCTCAGAAAACTAGGCTTTGCTGCAAACATTTTATCTAACTTCTGTCCTATTTCATCGTCTAAAGTTGAGAACACAATTGATTCTTTAGCCACTGAAAAAAAAAACAAAACGAAAGAAACCGTAAGAAATCAGAATTGACACAGCCAGAGAATTGAGCGATATAATTGACAAAAAAAAAGCGCACAGTAGTCTGTCAGTATGTAATACTCACTTGTAAATATTTAACGTAACGTAACGTTACACTCGGATGTCGCTACTATAAGATTATTTTTATTCAACGACTTCTTACACTTCTTCTTATTTCTTCTTGCCCAAAATACAGCCAATTTTTTCACTTCTAGATAAGTTTTTGATAACTTTATTTAGAAGATATCTCTCAAAATTGGTTCTCCTTATTGGTTCTCAGAGGAATTTATCCAGAGGATAGCTATCGAGAGGTATGAAGAAATCGGCCGATAATCAACACGATTCAAACCGACACCGATGATCTTGCCAATTCAGCAAGCGACCGACACGACTTCTGTACAGCCGACAGAAACTGGGAAATTCAAATAACTGTCTCTCAGATTCTTGTATTCACACAATATAATGCTTTATTAGAATTAAACCGTTTGCCCTTTCTATTAGCTGGGGAGCTATTATTTTACACCATATACGACTGGACTGCGGATAATCACGATGCTCAGTTCGGACGAACGACGACTCTCGGCGACCGCACAGCTCAACCTTTCTCATGAGAGTGTCCTTCCTTCCGTTTTCTTGCACGAGGAAACCACCGGTTAAGTTTTTTTGTACGAAATTGCTTTCACTACACACGCGACTCGCAGAGAAATGAATGAACTCTCGATCGTTCGAATCTCATGGACCACTGTGTCGACAACATCCTTTTACTGGCCCTGTTTTTCTTCCTGTTTTGATTTCTTTCGTACTTTCATTCTTGCCACGCAAATTCGGCGCACGCCTTACTTACGCGCGTGTGTGTGTAATCATAAAAAAAGTTTGTATTTATAATATGTGTAATGTAATTTTGTGCAATCTTTAATCATTATGATAAAGCAATGTGCAGAAATTTCCATATGTGCAAAATATGCAATTCCAAATTGCAAGATTGAGAATAGGAAGATGTTTCGCGTTTAAAATTATATATTTAGTCACTAATTCAGTCACATCTTACCGGAATGTTCTAAAACTTCAGATTTCTTTTACATCCTCTTCTATAAATACTGTTTATTTCTTAAATAATAAAATTCTATACAGAAAAATATTAATATTATATATTAAAAATATATAGTATAAGAAAAAGATATTTTTCGTACATATATTCAAATTATTTGAAACGCTATTAACTTTCTCCCCGTCGAAGATTTCACTTTCAGAGAAAGTTAGCACCTGCATTCTTATCGTAGATTTACGTTGGACACATATGCAAAGCAAACAAAAAAAATCCGTTTTTAATACATAATGACATAATATTAAGACTTTATTTAAGTTAAACGAATGAATAGTCAAGGCTCGTGAAAAATTGAAACTAAGAATGAAGAGGCTAATATGAGCCATCTAAGATTAAATAGGCCAATACGAGCCATTCCCAGGTTGTTGTGCAGGAATAAGCGTGCATGTATATATATATATACACATGTATGAAATTCACATGTAAATTATTTTTACATGTGAGTTTTTTGAATTGAAATTTCAATGAATTGAATTTCATACATGTGTATATATATATATATATATATATATATATATACATGCACGCTTATTCCTGCACAACAACCTGGGAATGGCTCATATTGGCCTATTTAATCTTAGATATCTCATATTAGCCTCTTCATTCTTAGTTTTTATTTAAGTTATATACATTAAAACATTAGAATTCAAAGAAACGGTTTAGAACACACATTTTTTGTTTCTTCATTTTTGAAACTTTTGAGTGAAAAATGTTCGAGAATCGAATCAAATGCGCACACACAAGTTAGTTTTATATAAGTTTTATTATCTTTGATTACCTAAAAGATTGGTAACACGACTTCTAATTAAGTTAATTGGCAAAGTGTAATCTGTATTAGATCAATTTCAATAGAATATAATCGGCCAAATTAAGTTAATCGGAAATATGATAAGATCGCGGTCCTAATCCCTGACGAAAATAAGAAGCTTTACAGAGCGTGATAACCGTTTAATGAGAATTTTCTGAGAATTTATACGCTTTCAAACTTTATAAGAATGCTTATATAACGCCAAAAGTTTTGAACTCTTTTGGAACACTTGTCAAACGCTTGTCAAACGTATAAATGATTAAAGAATCTTTTAAGGCTCCGAAGTTTTCCAAACTAATAAATATATATATATTCGGTCATGAGAGCCGTTCGCTAGGTGTTGTGCGTAAATTAAACGTATAAATGTTTTTTAAACATTCTGCAATGATAATATAACGCTTTTCACGAAACGCTCACTAAATACTGATACATTTTCGTACAAAGATAAACTTTCAGAAACGCTTTATACAAACGCCTTTCAAACGCTGTAGCGTTGCAATTTTCGCTTTATGAACTTTTTACTGACCGTTTCAAAATTTTCTACGAACTTCCACAAAACGCTCATACAAACGTCAAATAAACCTTTATAAAACGTCTCATTTTTGTCAGGGTATATATACTTCTTGTACAATAAACATAATATGTAGAGGAAGTTTGGGTAGCCCCGGACGGTGGGCATCTCCGGACACTTGAATTTCTCCGCAATTGAGCCAAAACAAAAACAAAGAATTATATGTAGAAACATGTCACAATGCGCAGAAACAAATGCAATTTAGTTGTGGCGTGAGCGTTGAGCAAGTCATAAGTTACAGTGAAAATTTTAATTTTCTCCCATCAGAATCGTAGTAAAGCTACAGAATGTATTATATGTGGGGAAACTTTTGAAGAAGACTGGATCCAATGCCATAAATATAAAGATTGGGTTCACGAAGCTTGCGTTGACATTGAATCATCAAATATTTATTATTATTGTGACGTTTGTAAAGCCAAAGAACGCTTAGGCCATTGTTAATAAGTATGTCCGGGGCTACCCGCCGTTTCTTCCATTGCCCCAAAAATTAAAGATCAACATAATCGTATTATTACTCTTTAAATTATTAAGAGATGTTTTTATTTTTTTTTTTATTAAAATGATTAAAAAAGTACTAAAGTCAATGTTAAATATGAAAATAAACGTTAAAATCTTATTATTTGTATATTTGTATGTATTTTGTTCAAATGTCCGAGGCTACCCGAACTTCCCCTAATCAATGCAATAATAAAAGCTATGATTAGAAAAACCTAACACAAATTACAAAATAAGAAAAAAATAGATTAAAATTAAATTGAGTAAAGATCAATAAGTCTCATAAGAATACGAATGAAAATAATGTAAAATCTAAAAAAATAATAATATAATGAGATGTTATGTGACATTTAAATGTATTTTCAGCCTAAAAAAAAAAACTTGTATACTTTGTTAAAATCTTACCCGCTTACAAGTATTAGGATTACTCTTACAAGTATTAGGATACTTTCTTGACAATGTTATTTTTTTATTGAAAAAAATCAAAATGGGTGGCCGTTAGTTCCTACATAGTAGATTTGGCCGAAATTCATAGTCATGTCGCATATACATTCACGATATCTTTCGAGATTCTTCTAGAATATCGCAATTTGGCCGGGAATATACATATAGATATATCGTCTCTATAAACTGTATGAAACCACCATGTGGTAAGGTTGAGTATGTGCAATAGTGCAATGTGATAGGCAATGATCAGCAGTGATCAAATGGCAAAGATGGCGCTGATTTGTATTATGTCAAATTTTTTAAATTGATTCCTTGAGCCTTATTCAGTTTTGAGACAACGACCTGGCAATCGAGTTATCCGTTGCCATTTTCACGTCACTTCGTGATCGTGTCGCGAATCGTGAACGCAAGTGGAGACGTGCGCGAGAGTCACGTGTAACATTGCACGTAGGGCTTTTGCACTTAACCTAGACATTCTACCTTGAAAATCGCCGTTGACGAGAGTCTCAATTGACGCTGAGGTATCATGAGTTTATTTGATGTTTTTGGAAAAAGAAAATAGTCTGACTGAACGGTGACGATAAAATCATTGGATTAGCTGGTACTCATTAACTTTAATGTATTAAATACGGTGTCTCCGAGTTTTATTGAAGTCTGACTCTGGATTTACACTTGATCGTGTTTAAACTTTAAACTTGATTCTCTCTTGCAACTATAATTTCATCACCCGCAAACTGGCGGATACGTTGTTTAATTGGATGCAGTTGAAGTTAACGCCTGGCTAAAATGCCGAAGATAAGGACTAAGCAGACGCCAAACAGTCTCTGGTTAAGACAACGTGAACTTGGTGTAAAATTTCCACTGGGCCACAGTGATGATTTTCACAAGACTCTTTATTCATCCGTACAACCCATTACTTCGTGGGATCATGGGGATAATTTGACTGCCGCTAGACATGGTGGCGTGTTTAATTTGGAATATTCGCCAGATGGGTTAGTAAGAGTTTATCACACAATATGTTATTTCTCACCAAGCCAAAAGTCAAATTATATTTATATTTTAAGAACTGTTTGCATCAAAAACAAATCAATAAAAATCTTAACAAAGTATGTTTGCATCTCTCACATTTCGACATTACAGATCCCTCTTACTGGCGGCATGTGAAAAGAAAAGTATTTTAATGTTTGATCCTCTATGTAGAAAATTGATACATGCAATAGACAATGCGCATAATGACTGTGTCAATTGCGTAAGGTTTGTAAGATGAACTCTTTGTACAATTTTTTGTTTTCGTACAGAAGAATTTATAACAATAAAGTGAAAAGACACAAGTAAATTGATATCATTGTCAACATTTCTAGATTTCTAGATCAACGTATGTTTGCAACCTGTTCTGACGACAGCACAGTTGCTCTGTGGGATGCCAGGAATTTGAAGCAAAGAATAAGGACTCTTCAAGGACACTCCAATTGGGTCAAAAATATAGAATACAGTCCGAGCGATAGTTTATTATTGACTAGTGGGTTTGATGGTAGTATATATACTTGGGATATTAATAGGTAAGTTCTAATTGATATGAGATGATCTATGTTTTGATATCTATGTTTTGATTGTAATAATATATTTTGCAATATGTTTTACAGTTTTACAGAAAACAGTTTTGTATATACTCGTGTATTCCATACAAATGGACTAATGCGAACAAGACTTACACCTGACACTAGTAAAATGTTAATATGCACGACTTCAGGATATCTCATTGTAATCCACAATCTTAAACTTAGTACATTAAGTCAGGATTTGCAAGGATTCAAGGTACATTTAATTTGGACATATGCTTCATATATCATGACTTTGTTGATATTAAATTATTCATATTTTTGCAGCCAAATATGTACAGATTAATGCAGCTATCTCAAACCACCATACCAGTTGCTGCACGTTTTACGCATCTTTTTGCTCATACACGTGCTCACAATAGAGTTGAATTCCTCACTGATTTTCCCATAGGTGACGATGCCGAGGTAATATCCAGTTTACAAGTTCATCCGCAAGGATGGTGCGCTCTGTCGAGAAACGTCAGCAGTGGAGAAAAATCGGAGGTTAATTTGCCGCATTTTGTCGTTATTAACTTGACTTTTTGATTAAGGAATTTCATTGGTGTTTTTTTTTTATTCTTATTTACAGTGGACATGCATTCACGATATACAAGAACGCGAGTCATCAAGCAACATGGAGCAAGTCAATGAAGGAGAGGAGGGACGTTTAACGAGTCTGAACGTGGAAGAATTCGAAGAATTTCCGCAATCGCAACAATCGCGTTCGATCCCTTCATCATTCATAATAGAAAATACAAATCGCACCCGAATAATACATGACGTGTCGAACGTAAGATCGAATTCGTCGTTTGATTCGCCTCTTCGCGTATCCGCAGATGCAGCACCGTCATCGATCAGACCGTCAAGAGTGGCAGGTTGGCAGGTAACTCGTAGAAATCTACGATCTCAATCACGAAATCCACGTGCAGATAGAAATACGGTGAGAACGAACTCCGATATCGAGATAAACTCGAGTAGAAGCTCAGCTACAGACTCGAGAATAAACACGAATCATAACGACGACGAGCCAGAAGATCAGAATGTGGATTACAATAACGACAACGCATCCGTCGATGAGAGAGAACGAGAGAACAGACCGTCTTCCAGGCCGCACTCTCAACTCAACGACCTGCGTCGTCGTAATATGCTCGATAATCTTTCCACTTTGAGAGGCAATGTAGAATTGCACGTCAGCACAACCGATGTGTGGGAAGCGCTGGTTGCAATCAGAGAAGCCAGACTTCGCCGGGAACGTGAAAGAGAGCTTTACCCCGGCACTGAGAGAAGAGACTGGCTTCCCAGGTCGAATAACGGCATGAGCGTGAATATTCCTCGTTCGTCTCATACGGTTGTAATAATTGGCGATCGAACTCGAGTACAGAATTTGCAAAACCGACAAAATCTTCCAACCATGTACGCGATACCGAGAAATCACAAGATTCATCAGAACACACCGAGGTTGACGCATTATATCGAGGAGCCCAATGTCGGTTCCGGATACATAAAAGAATTATGTTTTTCGGCTGACGGTAGGTTGATATGCTCACCATTCGGTTATGGAGTACGATTGCTGGCGTTCTCGAGCGACTGCGCAGAATTGTCCAACTGTGTTCCGCCCGCCAACGAATCTGTGCAACTTCATGAATTGGCAACACATATTGGTCATTCCGATATTGTGGTTAGCACGAAATTCTCACCTAAACACTATCTGCTCGTGTCCGGTTGTCTCAGCGGAAAAATCGTGTGGCACCAACCGGTGGTTTAGCTAAATTCGTTATTATTTTAGATATGTTTTATTGTGTATATCAATTGGTCTCTTAATAAGTATATAAACATATATTTTTGCCGCTTTGTACGACGATCACGCTGACATATGATATAATAAATCTTTTTGTTAATTTTTTTATGTACATACGTATATATATACATATATATATGTCTGTGTGTATTTGATGAACGTTATTTATATATTATTCATACAGTTATGTAGAACTACACCTGTACAAATTTATACAAAAACAAAATATACAGTTGTTTTTTCACATTTTCTCTATTTGTATAGTTAAACTTTTCTACCATATATTTCAATTCTATCAATTCCATATTTTTTTTATTCTAAAAAAAAATGAAGTTGTGCAATATATTTAACTTGTAATTTACGCTTCAGAGAAAAAATTGCTAAGAGAAAGAGAGAAAGAGAGAGAGAGAGAGAACAGTAAAAATATATGTTAAATTATACTAAAAAGCAAAATTGACAAATTTATATATATTGTGTGTACCTGTTATATACGATGAAACTATATATTGACGTATATAACATTTGATACCGACGTTATAATAGCAACATTTTCATTTGAAAACAGTTGTAAAATAATCAATTTTAATCTACATTGCAGCTCTTTATAAGATTGACATGGTTGAGAATATTATGTTTTTCTAATCAATATATATTAAAACTTTTGAATGTTTACAACAATTTTTATCTACGAAAAATATACGCCATAGGTATATATTAGTACAGTCACCATATTGAGGTTGCGACATATATACACATATATATATATATATATTATACATGTATATATTTGTGCAATTTTTCGATATACAGTCAAACCTCAATAACTCGAATCTCAACGGAAGAGCTAAAATCTTCGAATTGTAGAGGTTTCGACTTATCGAAGTTTCTTTCCTTTCCGCGGAGCGGAAGGGGATGAACAAGATTTTTGTTTTATAGAAGTTTTCGAGTTATAGAGGTTCGAGTTATCGAGGTTTGACTGTATTTTGAAGATAAGAATTATAAAACATGTTTTAAAGAGTAATAATATTTATTCATAAAAAAAAAAAACATGCTTTTTTCGCCCTTTCCGATAAACGTATCTGTAGCTAACTTGATTGAAGAAAATCACACATAATCGAAACATTTACAATATATGTATGTGACATGAAAAATTTGAAATTTACTCAATCGACTCGTGTATACTATGTAGCAATATGCGATACTATCTAGAAAAGTCATCGTGATTATTTATACTTAAATAAATTTTGTCATCATGGAGAGCATACATAACTGTATGTAAAATCTGTACGTATATATGATCCAAGAACATAGGTAGGGATAAATTGAATATTCAAAAATCTATTACATTACACATTTGTATGATTAATAAGAGAGAAGAGACGGCATATCCTGTAATATAAATGTGCATGTAAATATGTTGTGTCGTATTGTATGTGTTAAGAATAGCGATTTTCACGTTTGATGAAATGTTCTATCATTTAGCTGTTCGATATGTATTCTCTATCTACATATATATGTATATATATATCTACATATATATGTATATCGTGAAACTCTGAATTACAATCGGCAATATTGCATCAGATTATGTCGTCAGCAGCGAAAAATTACGAACAAACTTGTAACAAATACTTAAAAAAAAAAAAAAAAGCAATTTTGTGCGCATATACATATATAAATCATGTATAATAATTTAGTATAAATTTGTTTCTCTTATATACATTCTTTTTTATTGTTTCCACACTTCCATATTTATTTGTAGAAATTTATTAAACACTACTATAATATATATTTGGTTTGATCGCCAAATACATTTTTGTGCCGAAAATCTCGGAAGAACTTCCAATTAAAACCTATTGTTTTAATTAAAAAACCAAAACTTTAATATAAATTACGAGAAGATAATGTCATTGGCTTCTGACACCATAATCTGATTCCAACAATGATTGATCCAAAATTTATAGTTGATAAAAAACTTGCTAATTTAGAACAATCACATAATCAATTTGAAAGAGCATTCTCTTAATGTTTTCTTTTTTCTTGATCATGAAAAGAAGTTGCATGATTTCGAATCACAAAGAGCAATTTTTGCGTCACGAACAATATATCGTAAGAAACGTACGTTAAACATACGTATAGACCAGATGATTATATGTATGTTATTACGTATTTGTACATATAACATGCGCGCGCGCATACGTGTGTGTGTGTGTGGATATGCGAATGTATCTTCTGCTTATACTTTTTCAGCAACTGATAAAAGTTTGGAGATTAATTTTTATAATATATGTCGAATTTTTTTCTATTCATTTCTTTTCTCGTATAAGTACTTAAACAGAATCCGTATATTGGTATTTTGTGTAAAAGTGCAAATGTATGAACAATAATCGCAAACATGTGTACTACGGACACGGGAAGATTCATCGCCTTGTGAATGTGAACAAGTTGTAGTTTGTTTGTTTTTATAACAATTATTAGTGACAAATGGCCTTATCGTTTTTTCTCGTATGTGATTTTAACATTGTGTGTACTAATTGCGTGTTGATTGTTTTGTAAGACTTGTTTTTTTTTTTTATTTTATACAATAAAACATCTCTTAACATCAACGCGTATTAGCGCGTTTTCTTTATGTAAGTTTCTATGTGTGTATGTAGCAAGACAATATCCACAACAGCTTAAAACCTGTGTCACAAGAGTACCTTTATTTTAACAATTCTTTTAACTTATTTACAAAAGCCAGTAAAACTCAACAAATGCCTGTTGCTGCAAACGCCTCCATCTCCAGTTATATACCGGCATCTTTTTAGCTCAACTGAGTGTTCTCATTATTTTTTGTTAATTAGTTTAAATATATCAAATTTCTTTTCACAGAACTCTTATAAATGACAATTTTTATAATTTAATTATATTTTAGAATATTTTGTATATATTATAGTGTTGCAATATAAAAACTTAGCTAATTTATCTTGCATTTATTAAAATTCTACGTTGTTCAAATTCGAAATGTGTCTCAAAACAGTCTGTAATAAATTTCAGTAGCTGTCGTGACATATAGAATAAGCAATGGAAGACGGATGGACAAACAGCAGACGCGAGACGCGAGCTTGACAGACAAGATTGTACTACTTTGTATAGGAAACCAGTGGTTTTTTTTTTTCATGGTTAGTAATGCCTTTCCCGGTGTTAACACAGTTTGAAGTATAGTGTCCGCAATTTCCGGACGATTCTATTGCGCGAGCCACAAGCACGCTTGGATGATCTACATCTTGATTTTTTCCGGCGCTTCGTCGAGGATACGAAGAAACCGTCGGCGTGTTTCAGATCGCGAGATATATTGCAGTCGCCATCAGAACGGCATATCCGAAAGTGTTGAGTTGCGTCTTTTTACCGCCGTTAATCGCTTGAGTCTGATTGCGTCCTCGATGTTCATGATGATTCGAGTGATCTCGCTGAAAGTCCACGCTGGACATCGTACGATCTTCGAGCGGCGATCTTTTTGATCTTTCTATCAATGTCAGCCTCGTGCTCATCTTTGGAAGTTCAAGAGGCAAATCAATAACCGACGAACGGTCTTTCTTGCCGTAGAAGACATTCGAGCCATTCGTTTCGACATTGCGTTTTTCTCCTGGTATCAACGGAGGCAGTTCACCCTGGAACTTACCGAACTGTGGCGTTTTGCTAAGAATGTCTGAGGTCAGTCTGCTCTTGCTGCGATGTTCGATGTTGGATACCGACTTAGCCAAACCGGAGGGATCCTTTAGCTCCTTTCCGTCATAAGTGATCAGAACGCCCGAGGGCGAAGAAACCGGCAGATCTTCAGGCTTAGGGCTTCCGACTGGCGGAAGATAATAAGTATCCAGTCTAATATCAGCCGCCATTTCCATGTCATCTGAATCGTCGTATCGCGGCGAGAAGCGTGTGTTGGCAGGAGACGTTTTCTTTTTTCGTTTCCGGTTGCTGTCAATCACGGCAGACGTTGTCATGGACAGTGATGGTACGAACACGGGTGAAAATTCGTCGATCGTTCGATAATCCGAGCTCTTACGATATACCTCGTCCTGCGACGATCCTGTAATGTGTCCCGAGATTCTTTTCTGCGCGATTTCGGACGACGATGTTCCGTCATCGACCTTTCTAATGATTGGCTTGAAGCCACCCTCGATTACGATGGAATCAGGATCAAAGCCGGTGTTGCGCGCAGGTTTTAAAACTGTCCACGAAGGATTTATATAATTTTCAGAAATTTCCGACGGTGTTTCCGACCCTACTTTAGCCTCGAGTTTCACGCGTTGCTTTGTGTCCGATTTTGTCGTGTGTTTTTCGAATGTAGCTGCGGGCCCCGCTTTGTCAAACGTCGTCTTCAACGTCGTCGCGACTGGCGGGGATCGGTAAGCGGATTTTTTACGCTCTATGAAGATCGGCCGTGGCGACGGCAACGGCAACGAAAACGGCAACGATAGTGTACCACCGGTTATTAGATTGCTCGATTGTAGTGTCTGCAACATCGGACGACGCGTTAATTGAACCGGTCGGCGAATGATCATCAGTTGAGTCCTCGGAGATTCGGGTTGATGATGATAACGATGCGAAGGAAGAAGCTGATGGCGGACGTGGTGATGATAATTGCTCGCGTAATGATGCGGCGCTCGGGAGTAACTCGATAGTTGCGCGTTGCTGTTGGCCGTCGCTACGTAAGGCAACTTAGCCCCATGGCTCAATGATGGTCGTTGGTAATCTGCAACGAGGTTAGATAATTGCTTGTTAGTTGTGGGAGTCAGCTGTTGAATCTCTCGTCCGAGCTCCGTGAGTTGCGAATGACCGGTATGAAGGGATGATGATGGTTCTTTGACGGTCGGTCGATGCTGTTGCTGTTGTTGCTGCTTCTGCTGCGGCAAAGCTTCCTCATCAATATGATTTTTGTTCTTCAGACGAGTCTCGTACGATCGATAAGGCGCAATTATATTATCGGTCGTGTCACCGCCATACAATTTCTCGGAAGACGACAACGATGATAATGATGATGATTGCAAGCGATCGTAATTGTTATTGGCGTTCGTTAGTAACTGCGGATGATGATATGAGTTGACACTTAGCTTGCTGACTGGGTTAGTCGTCGAGTGATGATGGGGATAACGATGGCCGTGCTCGCGATGAGAATGATGAACATGATGTTGATGAAGAAACTCCGCCGGTGGCTTTACCTTGCTCGCTACGGCTATGCTGCCGTCATACTCGAGATCTTGACTCGCCGCTTGATGACTGCTCCTTGCGGGTGCTGCGTACACTTCATGCTTCTCACTGGCCGCCGACGACGCTTCGCTAACATCGCAGCTGTCAAGCACGTTGATCTTCCAGCCTAAATAACGATGTGTAAAACACTGAAAAATAATGCAGAAATTTCAAAATAAGTACTATTAAAAATTTGCAAAGCTTTCTTTTCCGCGCCGGTTACTCACTCAATATATATCTACGCTGAAAAAAAAAATATAATTTTTCTATATCAATTAAACAAACTAAAAATGTTTGATCTCTCCTGTCTAAGTGCTGTAATGTTTCTAAGGATTTATGTAAACAATAAAATACTATTATATAAATGTGCGATATAACTGAGCGTCGCGCGCGCGCGCGCACAAGGCGGTTACCTGATAATACACTGTATCGGGTGTATTTTCGTCAGGTGTCCATTCCACGATACCCGGCTCACCGCGATCGCACTCGAGAGTCAGCGTGCGTTGATAAGCTCCGAAAGATGCGAATTCATCCGCAGGAGGTTGATTCTCATCGGGCACCCAGTTGCAGAGACGACCTACGCCTGTGGGGATAATTTTGCCACGTTGCCGGCGCACACCGGCGAATATCTTCACTTTCTGTTGAGGTCACGCAGAAGAAAGACCGTTACAAAACACTATATAGATGATTTACGTTTATAATCTGAGCTTTTTTTTTTCAAAGATTACACGCGTTCTCGGTACATTCTTTTATCAAGGACGCTTAGATCATAAAGATAATGAAGAAACTCAATGACAATTGCATCATGTACTTTTTACTTTTTAGTGTTTTTTCAGCTTTCTTTCTTCACGGAAAATATCGAATAAAACGATTTTGCTTTGAAAAATATGCGGAAAAGGTTTTTACCGCTTTCTCCTCGGATGTTTTGTGCTGGTAACCGCCTATCGGATCGTCCGTAATGTAGAACGGATGATAACGCGCCGGTGTCTCCGAATCTAAGCCACCTTCCACTACAAAAGTGTACCTCTTGCCGCGAACGACATTAATCACGGGTATCAGCAGTCCGTTGATGTACCAAGAAATTCCCCAGCCGACGTGACCTGGAGAAAGTGAAGCAAAGACCGGTTTTGTATATAAATGCGACGGCTGCTTTCTTGCGATTTAATCGGAGGAGACTTTCTCGCGGGCGAGAAGATTGCCATGCGGATTTTGCGATCACTCTTCTACATGACTAAACATAAATGTTCTACAAACAAATATATGAATATAAATCACGCTAAAGAATCTATAGAAAGTTTTGGAATCAAGACAGATGGTCTTCTATTATAAAAAAAAAAAAAAAAAAAAAAAAAAAACTACTTATGAATGTAATTCCTTATACCGGTAATAGCCGGATAGCCGTGTTTTCCTCCGGTAGGTCCCATCTGCGCGTAAAAAACGCCATCATCCGGCTCGTTGCACTGAATCGGCGGTATTTCCCAAGCGTTGTTCGTGGGGGCCGGCGCAGGAGTCGCTGGATGACGATGCTGTCTTTTTGTGGCACTTAGCTGCTGCTTAATGAACATATCATTTTCTAAAGAAAATGTAATATGGAAATTAACGTAAAACTGGTATTATTACACGCTTCACCGTTCGTGAAGTACAAACGATCGAATTGGACAAACATAAAGATAAAAATTAAATCTTGACTCGCGCTTTGACGTGGTGAATTAATCAACGTTTTTCATTGTTTATGTGTCTTACTTGATTGTTATTTTGCGTGTCGTTAGCGTCGCCGTAGGACAAGATCTGCTCTTGATCGGGCATGGGACAATTCCATGTGGGCGGTCTGCTAAATTCGATGAACCGATCAGTCTTCAGATAATGATTGTGAAAACTGACCTCCTGTAGCTCATTCAACGGCCCAATGGCCCAGATTATAGCCTGCGATCTATTTGTCAGTATCGGAAGATCCAGTTCGTCGCTGGCCTTCAGCGGTCTCTGATACGTCACGATGCTGTAGCCGTTCACCATCGCCGCGTTCAGTAATCGCACCGAATTCGTGTTTTCCTTCAAATTATTCCGCACTATTAGAACGGACTTTTTATTGAGAGCGTAATATCTTATAAAACCGCAATTCGGAGATATTTAGAGATTTATGTGAAAAAAAAAAAAAAATCATTGAGTCCCGTCCTAGTTTACTTGCATGTATCTTTACCTGTATGCGTACGTCTGGACAGCTACCTCGGCCTCCAGAGCATTGAGATTTCGATTCTAAGAAGTAATCGTCGGCGGATCCCTGCAACGTCTGTTTGTCGACCCAAGCCACGGCCACGTCTCCGCCGATCATTACACTTTTCTCCGTGTCCGCGGATATTCCAAAGGACATGTATTGTCCGTCATCTGTCGTATCGATTTCAATCTTCTTCAACATTTTCTTTGAATTTTTTTTTAAACAAATCAAAATAGCAATTGTTGACACTTACCGAGTTTTGCAACGAGTTGAATAACTATGCTATCCCCGGCTATGGCCCAACGTGCTTCAAAAGCTAAACTGTCCTCGAGAACTTCACAGTTAAGTTTCGACTGAAATCATCAATCGTGAAATGTTTATCTGTCAAAACCACGGATCGCATGCCGGATTGATAAAAGTTATAATTTAGTCGTAGACACAGAGAAATGTTTTTTTTTTTTGGAAATAATTTTACACCAATAAAAAATAAGTATATGATATATATTATATTATAAAAGACAATATATACAGTCAATATTATTTATTTAGACATTATCTAATTAAAATATGCTCGAAAATATATGCAAAGCTCCAATTGTAAAAAATATATATTTATTTTGATGTATATAATACACATGGAAAACGAATACAAAAATATAAAAAATATAGTACACACATGCGTGTATAAACAAATATGTGTATATATATATGTATATATATATTATATGTATATGTATATATATATTATACGTGTACATGTTATATATCACCCGCATAGACACATATCATACATATATATTAGAGATTTCCCAGAAGATAAAGAGATAGACAGAGAGAGAGAGGGAAAGAGGAAGAGAGAAAGAGAAAGAAAGACAATAGAAAATTTTACAAAACAATTAAAGCACATATTATTAGGCAAGAAACTTTTAATTTTGTTTCAGCTTGCATCTAGAACGCGATCAATAACGCACGAACGAATCGACTCGTCTATCCCCTTGGAAATGCAAGAGCCTTGCGTACGAATTTTGCGGTTCGGCCAAGGCGGTGCGTGATCGCGTCACCGCCGGTTGGCGATACGAGGACGTCGACGACGTTTCGTCGGCCGTGCGATAGTAATGATCCTGATAGTTCGCATCGGCAACCGACGTGTACGCGTTTTCCGCCTGCCCGGTTATTAGAGGCTCCACGGCTTGAACTACTTGGATCTGATCGTCTCGGCGAAGGAGCGGCCGATAGGTCGTCGGTCGTTGTTGTTGATGCGAGAGAGAGCTCGCGAACGAGATAGCGAGGGGAGAAGGCGACGAGGAAGCGAAAGAAGAAATCTCGTATAGCGCTCCCAACTGTCCCTGCCCTCCGCGATGCACGTTCTGCAACACAAGGACAGAGACAGGGTTTTTATCCATGAGCCATCGCAGAAATTTTAATTTGGTCGCTCGCAAAAGCGAATGAATACTGAGGAGGAAAGTATTTTGCGAGAGAGAATTATTCTTATACACACACACACACATTCGCTAAAATCGAAATAAACTTGGCTATAAATTGACACTGCAGCTATAAAAATTATCAGCTTTCACATTTTCTCTCTTCTTTCGAAAAAGTCTTTTTCGAATGCTCAGCGTGAATTTGATTGGAAACAACGCGTAGAAGATGAGAGTTTGGAATATGTGCTTGACGTTAAATAGTGCAATATAATTTTGAAGATTTATATATACAGCCGCGCTGTGTTCGCGCGATAACAATGTATATTAAATTGTAAATGCGCATAATATATCAAGTGATTGAAGTTTGAAAGGTGAAAAAGAATAGTCGCGAGGAAGAGGTGGGTTCCGTCGATCGACGTCACTCGCGATCGCTGATTCGATGAGTCGTGAGTATATTCCTGATTGCGCGATGTATTTACAACGCTAAAAGCTATAGACCGTTAATACGTCTAGTTTATACACGTCTAGTCCCATTCTCCTTTCACGTGTGTCTGTACGTTACCTGCGGCGAAACTCCCAACATTCTGAGAGACGGTGGCACGTTCATAGTCTGCGGAAATTGAACGTGGCCGAAGTCCACGGCGAAGGCTTCGCACCATACTCCGAAGTGGCCGAGTTGATGAACGGTCAGGTCGCCCGGTAGTGTCAGAACGATCGTCTTGCGAACGTAACGACGCAATGGCTGCTCCTTTCCATTCTCATCGGGTACTCGGATACCCTGCGACGAGGGCGTAGGACCGGCACCAACCCAGAACTTAGCATCTGCAAAAGATGCGGAACTTTTATAGCTTTCTTCAATCTTGCTCTAGAGAGAGAGTCACGTCTCTCATGATGAAAACGTGAAATTTTTACGTAGCGATTAAACAATAAAAATTAAAGTTTGAAATTAACAATGACTTATAAAGTAAAGAAGACTTGCCAGGTGCTTCTCCGTCGTAACTGAAGCCTTGTATGAGAAGAGTTTGAGCATCTACAACGACAATCGGGTCCGAACTGACGCCGTGTATGCCGCTTAACGCTTTCAATTTCTGTGGTTTCGGATAATCGAAGCCACGCGGTATTCTGACATCGCCGAAATTTACCTGAACACAAATGTTTTCCATTATTTCATCAATTCGTTTCAGCGTGTCACTAGGAGCGAACTAAGCGTTTCTCTGTTTGTTATTATAACAGCACGTCCTAATTTCTTCAGTCCGGAGACGAAAAAGTTCACAAAGTCCAAATGTTTTGCCGTTAGATTTCTAAATACTAGATTTCTAAAGTACAAATTAATCTAATCTCGAATATATACACGCCGCATTATAATTACTGTATGTGTGCGATCGCGTAGTATTTCATCGGATAGCGCGTATCATATTCCATTCACTTGACAAGCGGATTCAGGCAACTGGTAACACCGCACGAGTGTGAAAGTTGCACTTCAAGAAAATGATACCGGTTCCCGGTATGAGGAGAGCAAGATGCACATATATAATTTATACTCGATACAACGCACCGTTCAAGGTCACGGGGGTTATACTTACTGAGAATTCGTCGCACCAAACCGAGAACCATTTGATGTTGTTTAAGGTCTTGCCGTCCGGTAAGGTCAGCGTGATATCCTTCTTGCGGTACCGTTTGAGGACGTTCGTGCTGTATCGGACAAAATGTATCACAACCGAATATAGTCGAGCGTTTCAAAACAGTTTTATTTAAGTATTTTGTGACTATTGTTTACATATATTGCAGTAATTGTTTATATCTCTTTGTATTGCGCGTCGGTGTCACTTACGTTCCACGTTCGTCTCGCACCCGGAACCCATTGTTGCCCGGAGCCTTGCTGTTACCAGCGTAAAAGAAAGCGGCTGAAAGAGTCAAAGCATTTTTTTTGTTTTTAATATATATATATATATATATATATATATATATATATATATATACATATATATATTTCTTTTATCTTTTATCTGTGAAAAATATTTCAGAAAACTAGCATTTCGTTGCCAATGAACGAACCGGTTTGAGCGAATAAAAAAAACGCGCTCGACGATCTTGAAGATTGTGAAGCTCTAGTAAGCATCTAGATGCTCCAATAATGGCGCGCGAGCATCTCGAGCAGCCTAACTCGTTTTAACGTGCGAATAAACGCGTGCCAGAGAGATTCGGGAAAGTTTTCCGGCACAGAAAATTGATCGCGGTCAGTCTACCAGGCCGCGCGAGGGAAAGTTTCCTCGCAGTTTCCCCGCATCTTTTTACAGAAATAAACGAAAAGCGGAAAAGCGCCTCGCGTCACGCAATATTTGCTTATTGCAAAACAAACATACTACACACACACACACACATGTGTGCGACTAACACATTTCTTGAGTTTCCCCGATGATTTCCCGTGTTACGAAATCAAAGTTAATAAACGTGCGCGGATCGCAAATACGCGTTCTGCAATCTGAATTTAGTGACCGACGAATTATACTCACCGGGACCTTCGCCGTCGTAAGTGAAGTCCTTGATAAACAACGTCCTTGCATCGACGGCGTAAACTTCGCCGCTCACGCCATGGTGAAGCTCGGACAGCTTGTCGATCAGCTTTCCGTAATAGGCTCCGCTACATATTTCTGCCAAAAAATATTCGCAACGATCAAACGTTTGCGTAACTGTAAATGTGAAACACTTTAAGTGCTATCTGGCGAGAAAGTGTCACAGACCGCAATCCTGTACGTAGTACAATTACTTCTCTCTCACAAGTAGCAAACTTGTTAAAAAACCAGGTAGCGTTACTCGTCTCGCGTCCGAGCGTTTACTTAAGAGAGCAGTGACAAACCGCAATGAATTTCTATAATTGCGCGCAATGAAATTAAAACAAGTTAATTAAAAAGAGTATTAAAAAAACATACAATGTAAAACAATAATCGATTGCTGCTTATCTCGTGTGTCGCGAGATATTAACGCGCGTCGATTAGTACTCGCGGAAGAATCGCACTACTCGCGCTGGATCTTCTCGCTTCTTTTTTCAGCGTGCGATCCGTATGATCCACACGTCATGCAAGCCGATGTTTACAGTTGTACAAAATTAATAATTCTCAATTACTTTTTTTAATCCAAACAATTCGATATATAATAAACGCATGTGGAACAGCATACGAATATTTTTAAATCGTTTATCGACATTACGTGTCACTGAACGATTCGGTCGCAACAAAAATAGTATATTGCGCTCTAGCAGATCCTCGCGGACTTTGATTCACTCTTGGTCTGACTCAATACGTTCAATTTGCGACCATGAAAATGATTCTGCGAATTCCGCATTCTGTAAAAGGATATGGCACACACATCATATGCATGTCCGCATACCACTTAGTCGCGTTCGATCGTTCGACGTACGACTGTACGGGAACGATCGCGGAAGAACCGGTAACTACACGTTATAAACGCGTGTGTATACACGAGAGAAAGAGAGAAAGAGAGAAACTTATTGAAATTCTGTTAGAATAATATATTCCATTTGTGCGCATTGCCGCGCTGATAGACGCGTTCCCAACTACGGTATATCCAGTACAGTAGCAGATAACGGATACTTCTCGTTTCTGTGCGGGAGAATAAATTGACTAACGATTGATCGGGTATGTTCCCATCGAGAACCGGCTGTTGCGGATCGTTACGATTTGTGTCCGTCGTAACGCAAAATTGGGTTCCGCGAACGCGAGGCAAACCACTTGCTCCGGATCACGATGACAGTTTGGATCACGCACGCGACATGTGAAAAATTTCTTATATATTATACAGGTTTAAAAAACTTGTATAAGTAACTACTAGAAATTAGGACAGCGATTTTTAATCGGTATCTAACGGTATCTAAAAAAAAAAAAAAAAAAAAAACAAACAATCAACTAACGTGTGCCGACAATTTTAGTGTCTTTTGTTTCGTGAGTTGGAAGAGATTGAAAATCGCTGGAACAGAGTAATGACACGTATGCACGCTCGCATGAATACAGAGGTACTAGATAAGTGATCCTTTGAAATGAAGGCCGCATGCGTTTCCATTGACAGAACATTGAATCAAACATGTACATCCAGTTAACGTTGGTTACCTCGTTAAAACAAACCCTTTGCTCGTCAGAATACCGTTAGAAATTCCGTAGAAGGACGGTCGTCATCCATCCAGAAACGTCAGGACGCGGAGCAAAGATTGGCGCGCATTAATCAAGGTCGCACGATCGCATGCGTTTCCGCGAGGAATTCGACGAATCGCGCGCGAATCTTTATTGCAGAATGTTATATAGTTGCAACGAGCAGCGGCGTGTTCGAGATGTTAGAGCTGATAAGGTCTGAGGCAAGAATATTGTATGGCATCATTGTGAAAGGAACGTCAGTCTCTCCCTGAACGAGAAGTTCAGTGCACAAGTCTCAGATTTTCTTTTTTTCTTTGGCAGATAATTGAAACAAGTCGCAACCTCTCTATACTTATATCTCTCTCTCTATACTTATCTTGCCAAGCCAGTTATTTAATTAGTGTTTCAGAACAGTTTCAAACAAAGATATAAAAAAAAGAATGTCTCTCGATTAATTCGTTTTTTTTTTTTTTTTTTTTAATGTAAATAATTGATGCGTCTATAAAGCATCAACGCAATCCGTGAACGGCGCGAAAAAAAAACATACATCTTCACGGCGCGTGACTCGAGATGACTCGTCGCATCGATCGAAATTTATTCGTGCCGCGAACGTTTTGGACCAATGGACGATTATTTGAATATACGCGATTGCGACATCGCGGACTCGGAACTTGTTGTATTATACACGGATGGCCAATTACGGTTATCCGCCTCCCGCTTTCACCTCCTGTGGAAGCCTGGAAATGTCAGATCCACCGACGGCGGTGTTATCGTACCCTTTCATTTTCATCCGCCGTCATCTTCGCGCGTGTGAGATTTTGCACCCTCACCGAGTTTTGTTTCGGCGCGCATTATTCAACGATTACAAAAGTCAATTAATTTTTTCTAACTTCCACAACAGTATTGAATCAATGAGTCGGTTTTACTTTTTACTAGAACCAGTAAGAGGCGTAAATAGAGAATGGATGCTAATGTGGCGCTAATTGCGAGTTTAACACGCTCGATTTGATCTGTTGATCGACCGACTCTTTGATTAACTTAACTGTTTGTATAACTCGCGATAATCGATCGTACTGCTTATTTTTGCAATGCGATTGATTGAATTCGCGGAATTCAATCAATCGATGGAATTGACCGACACTTAATTATTCTCTTACTTCTTCTATTTTTTTATAAAACAAGTGGAGTCGCACATATGCGTCGCTACCAAAGAGATATTCGCGCGTCGTGACTCACGATTCGAGTCTGACACTTTGACATTTTTGACAAGTGTTCAACAGAGCGTAAGTGGAGACATAAAAAAAAAAAAACAACAAAGATTATGCAATCGAATTACTTGATTTTAAACAGTATAGAATTCGTTTTCACAATATTTAGAGAAATGTGACGTATATATCGAACTTATATTGTCTGACATTTGACTTATTCAGAAATTGATACGGCAGATAAGACAAGATCAAATATATGTATATACGTATCTAACGTATGATTTCTCCTTGCTTTCTAAAGTATGTGCTAAAAATGGTGCACGCAAAAACGCGAAGCGTGAAGTCGCCCCAGGATGCGAGAACCCGCGAGTTAGTGGTAAGTAGAGTGGACAGCGAAGCAGCCTGCGAAATTGCGTGCGGATATCCTGATTAACTCGTGAGTAATGCGATAGAAATACTTTTGTAACATAGTTTCGAAACCGAAGTTTGATTATGTCGAGATAAATAAAGATAAAGAGACGAAGGTATATGTCTTAAATAACATCTATATATTGCACGTAGTTCCGTGCTCTGTAACTTTGTGCGTGTTGTATATTTAGAATAAAAAATATATACGTATAATATTCTAATGATTTTCCACAGAATTCTTGAATTCTCATCAAGGACATTATTTAATACACCACGAGATGTTTTATTCATATTTTTAAATAAAAATATAAATTAAGAGGAAATAAATTCTAAACTGTGAAAACGTCGATAAAAATTTACACTGTTTGTATGAGATGAGATTCGCTCGATCTGAACGCAAAAATAAAAAAACTTCTCAGAGAGATTAATATAAATTCAAAGATTAAATAAAATTGAAAAACTCTGTGTGGAATAATTTTTCCCAAGACAAAAACTCTTTGCGATTATTATTTAAATGCGTAAAGACGCGAGTGGCGCACTTTCTGTCGGTCCCGAAATTACAATCAGAACGGTGTGTTCATTGAGAAGGGACTTACGTGCAGCCGCGATAAGAAGAAGCGCGATGATCGGACCGATAGCCGACGGTCGTCGCGTCGAAGAGGATGCGAGTGATCGTGTTGTCATGATGTCTTGGTGGTTACTGCCGAGAAAAGTATCTGTTGTCGATCCAAGTAACTTTGTTGGTCCCACTACGCGATCACCGGCTCGCCTTGCTTCACCGTTCCCCGTTTCCTTTCTCTCTATCTTTCTCTCATGGGAAAGAGTTTCCAGCTTTTCGCGCCTAGGTAAAAGTCCTGTCATCGTATCGCGACTGTCATGCGATTGTCTCGATATTAAACGTGACACTCGTGATACGATCACGTATATTTTTCAATCATCATCATCATCATCATCGTTAAAGAGCGCTCTCTCACAAATGAGAAAGATTATAGAGAAGGACAATAATTATATTGCAAGGACAGAGCGTGAGAACCCGTTTAAGAAGAGCGCATGAGTGTATGTAATTATATAAATATTATATATACGTATGTACATGCTCCGGATTTCTAAGCGCGTTGCGTCCGAGCGTGCCGTAATTATGTGACAAATCTGACTGCATTACACACAATTACATTACGCTGTCATCACAACGACAACGACGACAACGACGACGACGACGACGACGTACAAATTACCCCATCGCGCGACTCCGCACGCTTGCCTAGGTCTGGTGAATATTTCCCGAGTGAGCGCATCGTTTGAAACCGCTTCTAACGTCGCTCACGTTGCATGTTGCAACGTGCTCGACGTGTGATTACCATTGCCCGGAGTTTGCATTCCAAGATTTGCCGGGATGATTTGTCTGCGCGCGCCGCGTGATAACAATGTTTTGTTAATTAGACCGCGGGCAATGAATAACGAAAATTAGAAGCGTGCGGTGTTTCAAACCGCGAGAACACAACCTCGACAATTATAACGAGGTACCAAATCTCCGTGTAATAACACGGTCCTCGACGACGTAACGCGGTTACCGTCAATCATTCATTTTGCAACAGCATGCAAATTGAGTGCGGTATCACGAAGTACTATCTTTTCTCACCTTTCCCCACCTACTCCGTTCTCCTCTCTGTTTTTTACCTATTTATTATTGCGCGAAAAGAGGAAAAGTAATTATATCCTTTTTCTTTTTAATGAAAAAAGAATACGGACGGTCATTTTGTAATAACAAAAAATATTACAAAAATTAGAACATCAGATTATGACGAATATAAAATTACAACTGTATTACTTCTAATAATAGCTGTTTCGTTTCCACGAATTGACCCATATTGAAGTAATTAGTTTGTACATGTACACACAAAAAGTGTATTCAGAATCTTCCACCTTGATTGGCAAATAAAAATAACAAAATCCATCTCTCAAACCGGTAAAATGCAACTTCATAGATAAGATGCTGCTTTCCTTTCCTTCATAGGTGGACTGGTATTCGGTCTGTTTGTGTTTGTGCAGAAATCAAGAAGAAGTTCCGATCCAACCTAAAAACTTCGTCTTGTGCTCATCTTCGTCTCGTCCCGCTTTTCGCATCTCACCTCATTACAAAAGAAGGAAAAGAAAGAGATAGACAGAGAGAGAGCAAAAAAAAACAGAATAAGTTAATTACAAGATCTTACCAGACAAGTCTGGTAATAGCGATTATTTCGAAAAACACTCGGTAGATCGTCAGAAATATCTCTCTCTCTCTGAAAAACATTTTTATAGCCACTTTAAAACCGGAAATGTTAATAATCAGCGATTCATAACAGTATAACTGTTTTTTAATGAACAAGCTGACAACTGTAAAATAGAAATTATATTTAAAAGTATTGAGAAATACATGCTCGAGAGCTCGATTTGAGCAAAATCTTTGGATATTTTAATTTTCATCACAAAATTATATCATTTATGTGTAAAAGCATTAAAAAAAAAAAAAGAAAAAAAACGGTGGCAAACGTTTCAATTCGCGTCTGAGAATATAAGCTTGTTGCGATAGCAAACAAGCGAAAGTCTTCTTTTTCCTTCGCTTAGGTGCTTAACGGACACTTGGCGGTTTCTTATGGAATGATCAGCTGTCTTGCTATACGCACTTTCGCACCACAAATATACAATACACATACATATATGTAACTCTCGCATGCGTAATGATACGATATGCGCTGGTATTATGATAATGATGCGCACAACATGCACACGCAATATTATCCAGAATTAATGAGTACATTTTCTGCAATTAGTTCATTAGTTTACACTCTAACATAAGTGTTATTTAATTTAATAAGACAGAACGCACACAAGAAAGATGATGCAAAAAAAATATTCTTACTACTCTATATATCTATAGTCTATTTTTATACCTTTACACACCTCATTCAGAACACTTCGTGTAACAAGTTATGCAAAATGCTTTTGCTTTTAAAGCAACAGCTTACGTATTAAATTAAACTTATTCCAAATCGGTTGTATCTTGAAATACCAATTTGTAAACTTTCTCGAAAGATACGTTCATCTGGCGATCAAGCAAATGTGTTTGTCTTTGCGAGAAGTGATCAGGCGTATCTTGTCGAGAGAGACAAGAATTTGTTTGGATGACTGTCTGCTATAGCATAATAAGATGAGAACAGTGAAAGTTTGTCATATAAATCGTCGATGTTGAAGCTGAATCATGATTGCTGTGTGATCTATGAATAGTAGTCTGCCTTCGTGGATCAAGTTCTCATGCCGGTTTCTCGTTTTGTTCTGGAGTTCATCATTTTCCGCAGAAACAATCATCACTCCTGAACAGAAATGGTAAAGCTATATAAGACTTTAATGCATTCTATTTAAAGTTAGAATATTAAAGATGCGTTGCTAGTTTTTTCCTTTTATGAGACAATAAAAAATAATCATTAATATATCCTCGCATAATTTGGATAATACACTTTTTTTGTGTCGGAGTTTGTTGTTGTGTCAAAGCGAAGTCTGCGATATTATTAAATTTATTCTTGAATATAAATCACAGACGACACGTAAACATCGTGCACACTTTAGAAAGTTGCAGATGCTATAAAAAAAAAAAAAGTTGATAGGAGACATCGTCTTATTTGTAAAACGTCTGTAAGATATAAAAATGTCATGTTGACATATTCACACGCATGTATGACCGATCAATAGTAATAGATATTGAAAGAGTGTAAGTACCTTAGCTATTGTGAAAGACAGAGAAATTAATAATAGGGACACAAAGAGAAAGAAAAATGCTGTAGCAATGATTTAAGAAGAGTAATTGTGTTTATTTTACAAAATTAATATTCTCTAGTAGACCACAGGTTCTACGGAGTAGATTCTCTTGTATCATATTTATCAAGTCTGCAAAAAGATTGCATGGACTTAATAGATGTGTTATATATTGAAAATGTACTAGCAAATAAATTAGTTAGACTAATTTTTTTTTTTTGTGCGTTTTGCGACGAAAGATCGCAGCGCATTTGGAAAATGTTAAAAAAAAATAAAAAAATGTCCTGATTGTAAGCATGACCAGTACTACTGGCACGACGCGACGTTGCAAAAACGGTGTATCTTTACACAATAACATCGCTTCTCTTGCTGCAATGTCGAGAAAGGACAGATGTGAGAATGAGGCTTCTGTAAAAGATGCAAGAACCAACTGAATTATTCAAATTTATATTAATTAATTATGAAATATTTTGTTAGAAAAAATATATATATATTTGTTTTTACTCTGTGCTTGCTTATACTTTATAATTTTATAAAATTTTTGCTTTTATATGTAGAAAAAGAAAGAGAGAGAAAACAGTAATTAAATAACGCAATCTTATTGTAAATAAATAAATGATTATATAAATGTACAATAGAATATCGCGTATCATGAAGATGCGCGTGTGGATGTGCGTAAAACGTGGAGAGATCATACAGCTTCGCTCTTTGAGGTACTTCAGGAAACGATTCCGGGATAAAAAGGAAATTGTTACAGTTATCAGTTGCATCGAAGATGCGACGATAACGATCGCATTGTAACTCTGCGTAATCGCATCTTTGGCGCAATAATTCTATACAAACGTCCGCCCAACTTCTTATAGAAGATTTATTCAGCGGTTGTGCTGATATTTCGTACTTTCACTCGAACACCTTGACCCGCGCACAATCGCATCACAATGCATAGATCGACGTGTATAGCGAGCTACACGAGCATATATGCTCTGTTTATTGATTTTGCATTATATTTAGGACTCTCCAGTGTTCTTATCTGACAATAAATCGTTTACATTGCATAATTACACACGAACACCAAAAGTGAAATAGACTGTGACATTTATACATGTACCAAATGTGAAGGGTAAAAATATGAAGTAAGAGAGACTCCACTTTACCGTTTAATTAAAATCTATCAGACGAGTCACATATAAGTAATCCTTAAGGTAATCTTTATACATACATGTGCAAATTTACCCGTCTCTTCTCAGAGATTCTTATGATTAAAGATCTCAAGATGTACACTCATGTACAAAACAACAGAAGAAAAATTATTTTTGTTTCAAGAATATTTTATGTACAATCACTGTTATGTTTCTTTATTTTCTGAAAAAAAAATAAAACATATCTATATAATGTAAAAATAGGAAAGAGAAAACAAGACAAATAAAAATATAACATAGAGTAAATGTTTTATTACAAACTCATATAAAAAACTATCTTTTATCTACAACAGTTGTCACACATTAATTTACAATTGTTAATATTATTCATATTTTTGTTTCACTTTAAATAGACAAAATATACGTATATAAATACGTTTCTTTTATATTTATCTTACCAACTATACGATTGTTCCCCGGCTAATATTTTACATAGTTTCATAGGATTTCATGAAGAGGACGTTAGTACACGGCAAATTGTTTTTACCCTAACCTCTCGTTCAAATTTGGCGCCAGATTTGTTAAATGTATGTAAAAAGAACATTCATTTAAAATTTACCGGAGAGTCATTGGACATTCTTACAAATGTTCTGTTAATCAAATTATTCAATGATATATATGAAAAATTATTTTAGGAGTATAATTTTATATATTTTGCGCACAGTTTCTGATGATACGTATCAAGAGAAACACTTATTTGTTATGTGGTTTTCGAAACGATCAATAATTTATGAGAACAATTGCAGACAACATGGGTACGCCAGCGAAAATTCAAAAGTTAGACGAGGTTGTCGTGAATAGAATCGCAGCTGGTGAGGTAATCCAAAGGCCGGCAAATGCATTGAAAGAACTAATAGAGAATAGGTTAGTCAAAATATTACATACACTCTTCACTGTAACGTATACATGTATATAAAATATAAATTTTTATGAATGTTCATAAAATTTATAAATTTTTTTTTCCACGCAGTTTAGACGCCAAAGCGACAAATATTCAAATCACAGCAAAAGAAGGAGGCTTAAAATTATTACAGGTATTCAGCAAAGTGACTTTTTGTCGTTAAAATTTTGATATGTTAGCTTAACTCAAAATGTTTTTCAGATACAAGACAATGGTACGGGTATACGAAAAGAAGACATGGATATCGTGTGCGAAAGATTTACAACAAGCAAGTTGCAAAAATTCGAAGATCTTGGTGCACTCACCACATTTGGATTCCGAGGAGAAGCTCTGGCTAGCATTAGTCATGTAGCTCTTCTTACCATCACAACAAAAACAGCAGATGAAAAATGTGCCTATAAGTGTGTAAATTTAACTAGCATTTGTGTCATAGAAAAAACGAATTTGAGTCTTTTTACTGGTCGATGTTGGAAGCTAAAAATTATTACATTTGTATCAACGTTACAGAGCATCGTATATTAACAGCAAGTTAAAAGCACCTCCGATACCTTGTGCTGGAAATCAAGGCACAATAATAACAATAGAAAATTTGTTTTATAATGTGGCGACTCGAAGAAAAGCTTTGTCTAATCCTTCAGATGAATTTATCAAAATTACAGAAGTAGTTATGAGATATGCTGTGCACAATCCAACAGTAGGATTTACATTAAAAAAACATGGAGAGCCAAGTCCACAGGTAAGATAAAAGACAATAGTTTTTAATGTAATTTATTCATAAAAATATTTCGTTAAATATATGTTAATCAGGTTCGAACACCACATAATTCAACGAAGCAAAGTAACATACGAACAATATACGGCAATCCAGTTGCTCGTGAGTTAGTAGAAATTGAGCTTAACGATGACACTTATAAATTCAAGATGCAAGCTTTAGTTACAAACCCGAATTATACAAACAAACGGATGGTTATGCTTTTATTTATCAACAATCGATTGGTTGATTCATCTTGTAAGTTTAAATGCATCGATAATTTTATACATTTTAATACGTCTACAGCATTTTAATCACTTTTCCCAAATTTCAGCTATTCGTAAAATGTTAGAAGACGTATATTCTGTATATTTACCGAAAAAAGCTCATCCATGGTGTTACATATCTTTAGACATTAATCCACAAAATATTGATGTTAATATACACCCGACAAAACATGAAGTTAGATTTCTTCACGAGGACGCGATACTCGAAAGAATCAAGCTCGCTCTAGATGAAAAACTTGCTGGCAATAATGCGTCCAGGTCATTTTATTTGCAGGCCAGATTACCGAAAGCGGATATCACTAAGGAAGTCCTAGAAGAAGTGTTGCCAGATTACAACAAGGGAGATTCGGATAAATCGAAAAAGATTAACCCTAAAGAGATGATTAGGACAGACTCGTCCGATCAAAAACTGGATAAATTTAATTTTACGATACATTCGACTCTTAAACATGGTAGAAACGACAGCAATATTTCTGCAGAACAGGCAACACGTAATCCAGGACTTGACTCTCCAGGAATTCCATTAGAAAACGTACCTGATGTTACTACGAAAGATTTATCCGACGATAGATGTCAAGAAAAAGATTTAAACTTAAATAATTCTACAGTATCACATATCAATGATATTTCGATTGATGATACTTCATCTCATTGGAGTGATATAATAGATACTGCAACATTAGTTGCATCAAACTCGCAAGAGATTTGTAATCCAAGTACTTCCGCACAAAATGACAAGTCGGAAAATATTGAATTCGATATTTCAGAATTTTTAAACGACTCTGACAGAACAATGGATAATTCCGTACGAGATAAATGTATAGATGTTATAGCTGACAGAGCTCGTAAGCAAGTGTATCAATATTTTGGAACTAAAGACATAGACAATGAAAGACAACGCTCAAACGAAGAAAAAAATAAAGTAGCAAAAAAAACGGAGTCTAATAAAAAAGATAATGAAGATTCAATATTTAATACAAATCAGTCTGAAAATGTACTTCCACTTGAGAAAGAACTCTCACAATCTTCTGATGGATCTTCCGCGAAGTCCGCGGAAAAATTTAAATCGTACTCTGTAAATAATTTTAGACACGAAGTAAAACTAACCAGTATATTGAAATTACGTAAAGAAGTTGAAGATGAGTGTCACGAGGGACTAAGAAATATTCTGGCTAACTTGACATTTGTTGGTTGCATCGATCAAACTTCAGCTTTGATACAAAGCGGAGTAAATTTGTATATCTGCAACACTAGAAAATTAGCGTAAGATAAATTATTATAAATCATATATATATATATACTATATATATATACACACACACAACTAAGTTAAAAATGTGTGTTTCAGAGAGGAGCTTTTCTACGAAATCATGCTTTATGATTTTGCGAACTTTGGTGTCCTAAAATTCTCAGTGCGTATTTTTTCTCAGATGCGTTTGCGTCTTTGGTTACTTTGTCTTACCTATCATTCATCTAATATTAAATATTTATATTTTTCAGGAACGAATATCACTGTTTGATTTAGCAATGATTGCTTTAGATTCGGGAGATACTGGATGGACTGAAGAGGATGGTTCAAAAGAAGAATTAGCGGGAAGAGTGAAAGAATTACTTTTAGAAAAAGCGGACATGATGAATGAATATTTTTCTATAGTGATGGATAAAGTAGGAAATTTAAGATCGTTACCCGTGTTATTAGGTAGTCCAATTTTAAAATATCAGAAGTAATATTACGTAACATTACTTTCGCCAAAAAATTAAATTTCACATATGCTAATATTTTAGATAAATATTTTCCATACGAGGCAGAAATTCCAATGTATATAATGAGATTGGCAACAGAAGTCGATTGGAGGAAAGAACAACCGTGCTTTAAAAATATTTGTCGAGAAACTGCAAGATTTTATAGTTACATCAATCCGAATCATCAGACACACGATTGGAAATATGTTACTGAACATGTTTTATATCCTGCAATTAAAGAGAGTCTACTTCCACCGAAACACTTTGCTCACGATTCGACAATTTTACAAATAGCCAGTTTACCCGACTTGTACAAAGTGTTTGAGAGATGTTAAAATATATCATTTTAAAATTATTATGCAATTTAACATTTTAACATTTTTTTTTTTTTAGCATCACAACATAAGAACTAAATTGACAAATTCGGATTTTGCATTTATATGTATGTAATCAATCATGTATTTGTATTTAACATTATACATCATAGCTGCATTTTATGATAGCTTTGTGATGTTGAATTTTTCAAAATATGTTACAAAAAGAAAATAAATACGTATGTCATTATTTTTACCAAAGATTTATACCGAGGAGATAAAAAACAAAGAGTAATATACATTTGCTTTACAAAAGTATCTTCTTCTATGTTACATATTATGTAAATATAATAACACAAGTATTTGTACACTAAGTACCCCATGTATTTTTTTTCCAATCATACATTTTTATACGAAATATCAACAGTTAAAAAATTCTATTTCATATTTTTTAAAATAAAGTTAAAAGAAATTACATTTTATATAGGTATTTTCACATACAAAATAAATGGTTCTACCTTTACATCAGATGTTTATCCTTTAGCAACACCCACTAATGCTGGTCTCACTATCCTTTCGTGCAATTTGTAACCTATTTTTGACACAACTACAATTGTTCCAGGTTTTTTGCCCTCAACCTCCTGAAAATTGATTGTTGATCAAGAATAAATATACATAGGACAATATATTTGTGCACATGTGATATAAAACTTACTTGCTGAAACAATGCTTCATGCTCATTAGGATCAAATTGTTCATTTATTGGATTAATTGAAACTACACCATGTTTCTGAAAGACCTAAAACAATTTTCAAGAGTGTTTAATACCACTAAAAATAAAGTGTCATAGTTCTCTTTGTAACAAGAAAAGAAGATATTTGCAAATGATAAATCTTACTTTAAGCAGTTGAGCTTCAGTCATTGTTAATCCTTCATACAAACTCTTGAGATGTGGATTTTTTTCTGATATTTCATCCTTTGGTACACTTTCAGTAGCTTTCCCTAATATATCAGCTACATCTAAGAGATCTTTACAGAATGCTTGGATACCAAAAAGTTTGGCATCGTTAATCTGCTTAGTGAGTCTAATTCTGATATTTTCTCCTTCAGCTAGTGCTCTCTTATATTTATCATCCAGTATATTTTTAGATTCTTTTACTTCTGCAAGTTCCTTGTTGAGGAGCTCCAGTTTTATCTTTAGCTTCTTTTCATTTTCTGTGAGTTCCTCTGGTGGAGGTATATTACTGGTATCTGGTTTCTTCTCTTCCGCCGTACCATAATGTCTTTTCTGCCAAGAGAAAGCAGAAACTGACGCTCTGAAATTTTGTATGTGAGATTTACAAATAATATCTATACCAGGTATAGAAGAATGTTTTCTACGTACAATAAAATCACATATTAGTTTACACAAAAAATTGTCACTGTTGTTTCATTTTCAATCAAATATAAGATATGTTCCTTTACTTTCTAAAATAATATTATATTTGTATTTTCAAAGATTAATTAACTGCAAATTTATGCAGCAGTGTCCAATAGTTAACCTCAACACGTAAACTCCTCGTGATTGTTTACAAAGTGTCTTTATATAAAACTTAATAAATTTACCTACGTATGCTTCTTTTATTTACATGATATAAACTTTCAACAATCACGCGATTAAATCGCAATGTCGCCGGTATAACAATCGATGCCATAATTTACTCGTGATTCAACCAAACCTCGGAAACGGACGTCAGCGCAGTGGATGACGAAATATATGTCGCACGAACGATCACAATACTAATCACAGCTCACAGCATGTAATATCTGTGTTTCGATATTTACTGCCAGTACCAAAAATCTATATTCCACGTCACACATGTGCTATAGATTTTCAGTACTGGCAGTGAATATCGGAACGCAGCCAAATGTTGTAACAACTAATTCGATCATTCAACCAATCAGGATACGTGTGTCAAATGTACACATGTTCAATGATGGGATTTTAAAGGTAAATATCTCACTTGTCCTCAAGGGGTATGTTCCAAAATCCTACTTTGGTTACCAAAAACTATAGTACACGTGACGTGAAATATAGCATTTTAGTAACTAAGGTAGGATTTTGGAACGTACCCAAGGTGCGGGTGCTATGAACATCGTACGAACAAAGTAGGTCAGTTTTGTGTCATCAATCGCGATTGGACGATTCGGTCAATTCGACTAACGCTATTGCTCGATTCCGTTGAGCTTGATCGACTTGTTAACGTTATCGGAGTTGGCAAACTTGATCCATAAAATGTAATGCCAACTCGCGCACTCTCTCGTCACGTGATCAATTTATCTCGCCAGCTACTTCTTGGGTGCGGAGCATGGTGGCGTATAGCATCGCCGGTTTTTCAGAGAGGGAGTTTGCACTCCGTCTGATTCCTCGGTTGTCCGCGCCTGTTCTTCGTGTTTGGAGAATTTGTGCTTGCGTATCGCGCCAGCCAGGTACTCTGCTCAAGTGGGTTGCGGGTGTGCAGCGTAGAAGCGTCGACGTTTGATCTGAACGAGCTACTCCCGCGAAAGCATCGTGTACGCGCGTGAGTTTTTGGAATTCGTGTTTTTGTGGTGTGCGTCATCAATCTCTGCGCGGCGGAGCAGCCGCTGGTGGTTATGTGTTTTGAATACGCGCCGTACATTCCGATCAGAATGGTCGCGCGCAAGCCTCCCGAGTTACAGGACGGTCGCGTTCCGACGAGATAAATCCGCAGTGTGATCACGAAAGCCGTCGTCGACGACGGTAACGAGGCCGATCCGCCGCCGTCGTCGCCGCCGTCGCCACCGCCGCCGCCGCCGCCGCCAAAGCAAAGCGGATCCCGGCGAAATACACGCGAATGCGCCCTACGCCACTAGCCGCCTTCACCGATTTCTCGCGAACTCGGCCTGCGAGCGATCACGCTCGACGAGCTATGCGAGCTCGCGATCGCACGCTCGCTCGCGCCCACTGGGACTACAGCTACGAGTGTCATTCACCGCTGATGTGCGCACCGATGTTTTAAGATACGGGCTCTGCACACGCACACACACACACATACACACACACACACACATAACACACCTTACACATACATCTCACACATCTAAAGCATACGTACCAGCACGTATACTTTACATATACTATATATACACACATATAGATATAGACATCGCCGGGCGGCGGAAGTGTTTTGCTCGATCCTCTTCGTCGCGCGCGCACTGCGATACACGGGGCCTTTAGTTCGTCCCTCTCGCTCTCTCTTGCTCTGTCCTGCTACGGCGCCGGGTACGGCCTACCAAGGAAGGCGATCCGCGCTCGCTCCTCCGCGTCCCGTTTCAAGTCTTCGACACCGATCATCGTCAAGCTTCTGTGTCCTGGACACAACGATTCGTCCGGTTCGCCCGCCACACGACGGGTTATGTTTCCTACTTTCATCGGGATCCTAGGTGGGTCCGCGCTGATTGTCATTGCGCGCAACAAATCGCGGCTGACGATATAACTTTTTTTTTTTTTTTTTTTTCTTTCAATTTTTTCGTTTCTCTTTAAACGGATGATAAAAACAGTTTTGAATCTTTGTGGCAGCAAGTATAGAGATATAATAATTTTTTAGTGTAGTTTCACATAAAAATTTTCAATACTTAAGCTGACAGCATTAAAAAGCAGCTGCTTAAAAGCTATTTTATATATTTTGTGATTGTTATTAGAAATGTAGAGATAATACAAATTAGAAAAAATTTGAAGCAGCAGTAAGTAGTTAAGTTATACAACTGTGTTAATTTAATTGTAGATGGTAGAATTAAGATCACAAGGAACTTTTGTTTTCTTAAATTTTTTAGACATTCAATCGTGGTGGGAGGTGCCAAGTATAGCGCACTTTTGCTCATTATTTAGAGCTGCCTTCAATCTTCTGGATTTTGATATTGAGGTATCTCATATTAAATACCACCTCTTTTCAGTAAGCAGTATCATATAAAAACTTAGCGCTATTTTGACAGCAGAATCATTTATGAATCTCAGCTTTGTTTTTATTTCTTACAGTTTACTTAAATTTTTTCTTTTTATTTTTTAGTGTATTTTATAGTGCGTCTCAATATTAATTTTGCTAAATTCTGTTAGGATTTAGAAGAAGCTTTATTAACAGACGGAGGTACCGAGGGACGACTGCTCCAAGAATTAATAGTAAAGCTATTAGAAGGCTGCTTGCCAAATGATAAACACAATGGCATCTCTACCACTAATTATCAGATGTTTCTTCGTAGACTTTTTCGACAAAAATGTCAAGTGAGTATAATACTTATTTCCTATTGCTTCGAAAAGTTCCTCACACTGACAAACACAATTAACTAAAACGCATCTTTGTATTTAATTAGGAATACAAGTGCAAAAATCCTTTCGATAAAGACGAAGATTTTGAGTGTTTATCGCTCCGGCGAAAAGTAGAGATACTACGTGCGCTCTGTGACTTCAGGCTAGACGCCGAGGACGTAGTACGTATCAAAGTGCTTTCAGCTATTGAAATAATGTTACGCATTTATCGTACACCTAATTATTAATATATATATATATATAAATTGACAATAGGAGCAGTCGTTAGGTAATTTGGACTCGGATAGTCTGCGAGTCGAACCTTTGGGACATGATCGTAAGAATTCTGCCTACTGGTACTTCTACGGCACTCGATTGTACCGGGAGGATTACATTGATACGTCTAATAGTGCCTCACACAAGCAAAAAAGTAAACCGAGGGACAAAAAGCGTAAAAAACGACGGAACAGAGTGGCAAAAGAGGAACAGGAAGAAAAAGAGAAGGAGGAAGATAGTTTAATAGATAGCGAGAATATTGGGCAAGAGAGCGTGTGGCAAGTAGTCTGTTTTACGCAGCAAGATTGGAGCAGATTAGTTGAAAAATTTCGCGATTCGGTAATAATCACAGTCATTTCCGCGATACAGGAGAAAACATGAATTTAAACTGAAACTGTGGCAACGTATCTTTTATGTTTTCCAGGAATACGATACTGAACGCAAGCTTTATCGTACGTTGTCCGAGGACTTTATGCCGGAATTACCGAAACTGTTTGAGCTAAAAGAAAAACATCAAAGACGTAAATTGTTACAACGTAATAGTGCGCGAGTGCTTCGTAGCCAGGAACCTGTGACGCCTATGGATGCAGTCATGGTCAGGCCCAAGATTAAGACAAAATCAACTAAAGGAACTAAAAAAGGGACGCAAGCTTCGAAATCCGCTTATATCAAAGAAGAGGAAGAGGCTCCACCGTTACCGACCTCGCCGATTCAAAAAAAAGGGCGACAAACAAACAATTCCTTGGCCTCAGCTGTTGGCCAGATTGTGATTCATACCAGAGATGAGGTGGAGGACTTGGAGAAAAAGAAGGGCATTGGCAATCAGGGCGATGGCAATTATGTGTCTTGTAACTACGGGTACAAATATGACTATCAATTCGACGAAGAGATACGTTGTGTCGGTATGCACAAAGTTCTCGAGTATGTCAAAGATCACGTCGATGCTTGGCCGTTTATCGATCCTGTGGATGAAGAGTACGCACCAAGGTACGAAAGTTTCTACATATTTTACGTGTATACTTTATATCTGAATAAAAAAAATTTATATACATTAGTTGTATTTTATTAAATTACTCTGACAATCTTATGAACAAGAGTTTTTATATTATACACAGATATTACAGCGTGGTGCGTAGGCCTATGGATCTCAGTACTATGGAAGAGAAACTGGAAGGCGGTTCATATAAAAGTATAAGTCAGTTCAAACGCGATTTTCGTCTTATCGTTGACAATTGTAGGCAATATAATGGCTCTGATAATGGTTTGTAGTATTTTCTATTTTTGTTTGTCACTCAACAAAGAAAAGTTATTTGTATAGATTTTAATTGTTTGTTGTAATAATCTATTTATATGTGTTTTTTCTAAATTTATAGAAAAACTAAACTTTTTAGCTCGAAATTTACAATAAAATAAAGAAAAAATTGGTTTAGACGACATTGTTGGCGATATGAGTTGAAAACAATACGTATCATTGTCGTCATGCTGATAAAAAAGTGGGATAACATGTCAATATTGTTATCAACAATGTTGCGGTCTAAACCTAAATAAAAACTTATTTGAAAGAATAAAAATTGTATTTGTTTCGCAATAAACAGGAAAATATCTAAATGACCACTTTTGAAATATTTTCGATCTTATTAACATTAAATTTCCTGACATGATAACGAAATTCCATCAGGTTCGAGTTCAGCATTAAAATCTATAAAGATCACCTTTCTCCACTAAAATATCAAAAATTGTGTTGACTAGTGGAAGTGTAATATTTACATATATATATCTATTTACGTACGTATCTATGTGTTTTATGTGACAGAATATACGGAAATGGCGATTAATCTTAAGGACGCATTTGATAAAGCCGTGATTAAATATTTGGATCAGTCGGAATCCAGTGATGAGGATCCCGCGTCTCGCTCATTAGCGGGAACACCTACATCACCGTCGTATCCTTCACGTCACTTGTCCTCTTCGCATCAAAACACACGTAATAAACGCTCGAAAAAATCAACCAAAAAATCGAAATTGCATAAACCAGAAAGTAGAACAAAATCTAAAAGTAACGAGAAAGTAGACGAGGACGAAAAAAGAAGTAAGAATATTAAGGTTGCAAAAAAGAAAAGAGGAAAGAAAAAGGGTAAAAAGGCGAAAGACGAAGATTTAGAAGAGGATGAGGAAGAACTAGGAGACCAAGAAAGCGACGATGCAATATCCGAAGTTAGTGTTGTAGCGTCCAAAAGAAGAAAAAATGTTGATGTAAATAGTTTACTTAAAACCAAAAAGCTACCTAAGGAATCGGAAGAATTGAAACAGTCTAATAAAAAAGCAAACAAAGAGCGACATCCGCCAAAAAAAGACACGGAAATTGTACGATCCGCGAAAGAAACGAAGGAGAACAAAAGGCGGAAAGAGGATTTCGAGGAAGATTATGAAACTCCAGTTATAGCAAAAAGTAAGAGTAGGAAGATAGAGAAGAAAGAAATAGAGGAAACTGGAATATTGTCGGACAATACCAAGAAGAGTAAATTAAAAAAGATCGAAGTAGAAGAAAGTGAGACAGTGTTTGAAGAAAATAATAAACAATCTTCTCACATTAGGACGAAAAAAAGTCGTAAAAAAGAAAAGACAAGTTTAAAGACTGCAACCAAGGCTGATGAAAAATCCGACAAGAGCCATACAAGGCAAAAAGATAAGAAATCAAAACAGAAAAACGAAGATTTAAAGAACGGAGAGTTGAAAAGTCGAACAGATTCCAAAGATGTAGGATTAGAAAGTGCTGATTCAAAGCATTCTCACAACTCTAAGAAACTCTCTACGTTATTCGGTGTCATCAATAAGGATGATTCTTTTGATAGTTTAAAGGATAAGATAAATGATAGGAAACATGATGAGAAATTGAAATCTGAGAAAGAGAAACAAAGAAAAGCGGTGAAAAGCGACACTCACGGTGTCCATTCTAAAAAAGTGCCTTCAAACAGTAATACTTTCCATGACAATGACAAAGATAATGCGAAGCGATCGAAATCGAAGAAACCTGCGAAAGAGGATAAAACTGTGGACGATACGATTAAGAAGCAAGATCCAGAAGTCAGTGAAAATAAGAAAGCTTCGAAACACAGCAAAGGATTGGGAGCAGAAGAAAGCGCTACAATTCAAGCATTAAATCAAGCGACGGAAAAAACACTTCATGTAAGCTTACAAAATTTTGTTCTCTTTTTCCTATTTCTCATTGAAACAATTACACATATAGACACACATATACAAATGTCGATATATTTCTATGTACTCAATTAGACGTACTATAAAAAGTAGATATTATTTCACGAGTTCTGTTTATCATCGATAATATATCGATTTCGAGGTAACGTATTGGTTATTGATATTATAGCTTCCGATTGTCGCAGATGTTACAAAACATTGAAGACGTTTTGTGTGCGCGTATACTGACTTTTTGTTGTTTTAAATGTTTGCACGATAGGACATCAACAAGTGGCTTGACGACGCACCAAAACTTTCGGAATTTTCTTCTGGCAGTAACTCTCCGGTGCTCCAAACGTCTTCCGCCGAGTCCGTACGGTCCGGGACGAAAGTAGAAGCTGCGCGAAAGAGACCGGGCTCTATCAAAATATTCGGTCCTCACGGGCCGAGTCGACCGAAAAAAATACAGCGTACGATCGATCGTTTGCAACCTGGTAAGAGTAAAGGAAATCTACTTTTGAAGAAACCGCTCACCTTGCCGAGCGGCAACGCCAGCGACACCGCGGTTTACACCGCTAACGAGAACGATCAATCGAATAAGGATCTCGACGAAGAGCCGAAACTCAGTTTAGGCACAGTACTGAAGAATGTAGATTCTATTCAACTAATATGCAAAAGTTTGGTATCATCTCCTAATCCCAACTTTTCAAACGACGAGGAAGATGATAACGCTCCCAACGCGGCTCAAACGTCTAACGTCAAAGAAGAAAAATCAACAAATGCTAAGGATACCACAAAAACATCGAGCGCAGCGGAGGAGAATGATGCGACTCGAACAAACACGGAAGAAGCACAGAAACCAAAATCTGCCACACCAAATTTGAGTGCCTGGTTCAAAGCCTTTGGAGCGCCAAAATCAAAAAAGAAGGAAGAGGAAGTGGAGGAAGTCGCGAAAAAGGACACTGACTTACAGGAAGTGTTTTGTGGTAGACAGCGACGTCTGAGCACCGGTGGTAGCAGTATCAGTGAATCTATGTCTAGTTTCTCTCAAGAATCACCGCCGGCATCGCGCACAGCTCGGTCTCCTCAGTGTCAACCCGTGATAACTCCCACTGAGCCGATAAGAGGTGCGGGATTTTATCAGGATGCGTTATCGACTGGGAGCAGTCCTTACAACAGTCCTTATTATACGACACCTCCAAGATACAGTGCACAGTTGCCACCCACACCGTCCCCTCAAAATCATCCTTTGTCTCCGGCCTATCCATCTTACGAGCAACCGCCATCTGCCTATCCACAGGTGCACGCGCAGCCACCTCATCAGTCGCCGTATCAGAAGTCCTCGCCCCAGGACAATACCAACGAAGCATATCCGCAAATGTCTCCGCAACGCTTTTCACAACTGTCTAACAACGGTCAGAATCAATCTCCCGTCTATCCACAACACTCACCTCAACCGATGCAACCGGTTTATCCTCAGCCGTCGCCTCAGACACCGCCGTCGAATTATTCGCAACCTTCGCCGCAACAGCCATCTACCCCGAATTACTCGCAACCGTCTCCCCAGCAGAACGCGGTCGCTAATTATTCTCAACCTTCTCCTCAGACCAATTATCCGCAAGCTTCTCCGCAACAGCAACATTCACCCTATTCGCAACCTTCTCCTCAAACTCCACCGAATTACTCGCAACCGTCCCCGCAGCAGCACTCTCCGTATACGCAGTCCTCGCCTCAGCAACCTGCCGGATACGGTCAGCTTTCGCCGCAACCGCCAGCGAATTACTCACAAACTTCACCTCAGCCGCCCAGCGCGTACTCACAGCCGTCTCCTCAACCACCAAGTTATCCTTCACAACCGTCGCCACAAACGCGCGCTGCAAACTATTCTCAACCGTCGCCGCAACCTCTAAATTCATATCCAAATCCGCCACTTGCTCGAAATTATTCCCAACCGCCACACCAACAGATTCAGACCTATTCTCAGCACTCGCCGCAAGCGCCGTCGCCGCAAAACAGTCCGTATTCTCAAACATCACCGCAGCCGCTGACCAATTATTCGCAATCGCCTCAACAACCAGCGACTTACTCGCATCCGCTACACTCACCGCAAACGCCACAGAATTACTCGCAGCTTTCACCGCAGCAACCATCGGGACAAACAGTAACGGCAAATTATTCACAACCGTCACCGCAACAGACTCACAGTTATCCACAATCCTCACCCCAACAAAAACCTTCTTCCTGCAATCCGTCGCAACCTCCCCAACAATCGCCCAATTACTCGCAACCCTCTCCCCAGCAACAGAGTGTCAATTACTCTCAGCTTCAATCGTCGAAAACCTCAGAGGCACCACCGCCTTCGAACTACTCCCAAGATTTCAAGCAAAACTCTTTATACAATCAACAATCGCCAACGGTATCTTCGTCTGTGAATGAATCTGAACATCGGGCGGAATATATGAAATCGAGCGCTCCTGAAAAACCCGCGAGCGGAGAGCAACAGAGGAATTTCCCTGTTCATTCGGAACCATCGTTGAGTCTAAACGCAAATCATCAGATCTATAAATCACCGAGTCAGTATCCATCGACATATCCGAATAGTTTTCCCATCGAACACCAAAGATCTGCTTCGAGACACAGCAGTCAACAACAGACGCCCCAACAATCTACACCGCAGGAGTCGCGCGCTAGTTTTACCGAAATGCAATCGCGCAACTTCCTCGGCAAAGCACCGTCTGGCGAACCGGTGTCCGCACCTGCGCCGGATCAAACGCAGTTGTTAGCATTCCAACAGAATTTGACGACGGCCCACGAGTCGCTGTATCCAAGTGGTTTCCAGTCATCTAGTTATTCGCTACCGCCGCCAACAACAAGGCCGGTATATCCTAGTCCACACTATTTCGATGCCAGCTCTAAGCCCGCCAGTAGCGGTGGTTCGTCCAGTAGTCCGACCAGCAATCCTCCCCCGATGAAGAAACGAGCGTACGAGCCACCATCGTCCGGCGAATCCAGTTCGCGCGGTCTATCGCAGGAAAGCTCGGTGACACGTCCGAATCAAGAGCAATTTCCGAGTTTTGATCCGATGATGGCTCTTCCGCAACCAGACACCGTATCGGTCAGTCAATTCGATGGCACACCGTACGTACACGTAAGCCTTGCCGACTCTATGGCGACCAATTCGGCGTATGCGCGACTGAGCTTCAGTCTGGTAGGTCGAACGCCAAGTAAAGAGCAGCAACAGTTGTTGACGATTCCTCGACTGCCACCCACGGCGAAGCCGGAACATCTCACGGCTTATGGTCGCGCTACCGCGCCTGGCGCAGCCGAGTTCGAACAACTTAATCTGTTGCAGAGCGCAAAAAACAATCAGGGCATTCTCGCGATATCGAGACGAGCCGGCGAGAGCGAAGCGCGGACAACGCTCGCGGTTACGACGCCTACTGCTGCAACGACAAAGACTAGGAAGAGCCGAAAGACCAAGCACCCGCAGCAAGAACATAGCACAAGCGTTACAACAACGTCCACCGCGGCAATCGTTGATCAGCAACAAGCGGGTATATCCGCTTTCCCGCAATACGCGGCCGCGTCTGCTGCGTCCACCGCTGATTCCATCGGTACTCTGAAAACACCTGCGGTGGCGGTACCGCCACCACCACCACCCACTGGCAGTGCCTTTAACTTCGCTTCGCCCACCGGTAACGCGACTACAAGTCACGCGCCGCCGTTTGTCTACGACAAGGACGCTACCGCGGCAGCTGCGTTTGCCTTTCTGACGGATGAATTTCGCAATCCGACCAGTTACTACAATATGGCTCTACGGCAGCAACAGCAGCAGCAGCAACAACAACAGCAGTCGACAGTGGTTCCGTCAACGGTAACGAATGCCTCGGGCCAGTCGACCGCTTGCAACAAACTTGGAAATCAACCGCCACCTCCGCCAAGAAACTATCCGCCACCTCATCCGTTTCTTCACTCAGCCGCTGCTGCAGCCGCCGCCGCTCAGAGGTCCTACGTCCCTCCGGTCTCCGCCTACGTAACGCCCCACGGACCCAATCTCACGGTAGACCCGGCCTATCAACAATACTTCCATTCGTTCTATACTCTTCAACCGCCGCATCACAGACCGCCTTGGCTTTAGCTACTAAGATCGTTGTAAGATCGGTTAACTTTCAGATGAACATCGGCAGACAACGCGGTGGGAGATAACGAAGATGATCGGACGATCGCGCAATACCAAATGATCGAAAGTCTTTTGGCGAGCGCGCGAGAGAGCGATATGCCCTTTATATATTTTATCTTTTTTTTTTTTTTTTTATATATATATAACGTAAAGGACATTCTCCTCGCGACTTGTCTCTTTTTTTTTAATTATTTTTTACTACGCATTGTGCGTATCCGTAAGGCTCTCTACGGAATTAGATAAATACTTTGTACAGATTTCTTTTAGCCTGAAACGGCGCTTCTTTTTTACGAGCAATCTAGTAATTTGAATATGAATCTTTGGCATTTTTACACTGTCAGAAAAATGACGAGTTCCAAGCTTTTATCCGGCAAAAAAAGGACGAACGGAATCCACAATGTGTAGCCACGTGTATATATATATACAAAAAAAAAAAAAATCTACTTTCGATATATAGGAATTTTTGATAGTTTTCTAAAATGAAAACGCGGACGAGGCACATTTAATAGCTGATAAGTTGAGGTTGCTAGGTCCGAGAGTAAACCGATCGCACGTCTGCCAAAAGTTCCTCCGTGCAATGTTGGACAAAATATGATTCGCAGATAACGAATAAAAAAGAAACAAACAAAAAAAAAAATTTGTATCTATCATATGTTACATTCGCACGTGCAAATGTAACATACGATCGTGTGTGCGTCATATTGTATTCGTTATTTGTGAATACACTTTGTCCAACTCTACTTCCGTGTTTAAAAGAAAAAAAAAATGCACACGCAAGATAAATGCGCGTGTCTTCGATGTACATATTATGTGTGTGCATGTATGCGTGTGTGCGTGTGTGTTTTCGGGACACGAAACCATGCAATATTCGATTTAAACGGTGAATTAGTGAGACTGCCCTGTAGCTCTCTGCGGTTTGGGTCCATAATTCGCTGAATGTTAGCCACTTCGATTGTTTTTTTTTTTTTTTTCTTTTTTTTGCATTAATTTCTATTACGATCCGTGTAGCGATTAATCGTCAAAGTAGAATCGTGTACACGCGAATTTTTGCGACGAACTAAAGAAGATTTTTATGTACAATAATATATTGAGTGCACACTCTGTTACTCTCTGAAATGTATGTTATGTAGATTACTTAGTCACGTAAGTATAGCACATAAGTTAGGCTTTCTTTGTATATATAAAAGACATATCTCGCATATAAAATGATATGCTCGATGTAAAGACAGATCTGCAAGATTTTCGGGGAGAGATCGCAGTTTGATCGCGACGAAGATGATGACTTTCGCGATTTAGAATTGCAGCCGGAAAGAAAGAGAAGCGTGTGTATGTTGAGAGATAAAAGATGCGCATATAATATTATGTAACACAAGAGACCACAAAGAAAAATTATATATGTGTACACACAAGCACGTGCGCGATGTGAAAAACCGAAAAAAAAAAAAAAAAACAAAAAAGAAACACAAAGTATACACGCCGCTATCATCGTACATTCATTAATAACTCATTCATTATCGCTGAGCAGAACCGGGATATCGTGTTGTCGGGAGGAAGCGATATATCCAAACTTATAAATATATACATATATATATGTAAATGTATATTGTAAATGTATCAACGCAGATTAAAACAGTTTGTTACAAAATCGTTAATTCTGAAGAATCAATTATTTGAGTTTACTACTCGTTAACACGTGGTGTCGTATTACATCATTACATTTTGTAGTTAGATATATATATATATATA